TTCTATTAAGTCTCCTCTTAAGCTTCTCTGTTCCAAGGAGGATAATGCAAATTTCTCTCGCTTCTCCTGATAACTGAAGCCCCTCATTCCTGGTACCATCCTGGTAAATCTCCTTTGCACCATCTCCAATGCTTTAACATTCCTTCCTATGTGGTGCCCAGAACTGAACACAGTCTCTAGCTGAGGTTTAACCAGTATTTTATAAAGGTTCATCATAACTTCCTGATCTCTGCAGTCTATGTCCCTATTTATAAAGCCTAGTATCCCATATGCTTGTTTTTAAAACAGCTTTATCTACCTACTGCCACTTTAAAATATTTATATGAACCCCCAGATCTCTCTGTTCCTTCACCTGCTTTAATATTGTACCATCTAGTTTACATTGCCTTTCCTCATTCTTCTTCCTAAAATGCATCACTTCACAATTCTCCACGTTAAACTTTATCTGCCACGTGTCTGCCCATTTTACATGTCCATGTACAGTCTGTTACTATCCTCCTCAGTGTTTACTACTTTTCCTAGCTTAGTATCATCTGGATATTGATCTCCCTATACCCAAGTCCAGGTCATTTATAAAGATCAAAAACAGCAGTGCTCCCAATACTGACCCTGGGGGACACCACTGCACACTTCCCTCCAGTCAGAAAAACAACCGTTCACCACTCTCTTGTTTTCTGTCTCCCAACCAGTTCTGTATCCGCTGCCACTGTCCCTTTAATTCCGTGGGCTTCTATTTTGTTTACAAGTCTCTTATGTGGCACTTTTATCAAATGCCTTTTGAAAATCCATATAAACTACATCAACTGCATTACCTTCATCCACCATCTCCGTTACTTCATCAAAAAACTCTGTATCAGTGAAAATTTATTTTGTCCCGGATTATAGTCGCTAGAAGTTTCTCCACGACTGACGTTGGGCTGACTGGCCTTAGTTCCCGCGTTTATCCTTCTGCCCCTTTTTTGTACAGGGGAGTAACATTTGCAACCCTCCAGTCCTCTGACACCACCCTGGTGTCCAAGGAGGTTTGAAAGATTGTGGCCAGAGCCTTGGCTATTTCCACCCTTCCTCCCCACAGTGTTAACTTAGGATGCATCCCATCCGGACCGGATAACTTATCTACCTTGAGCACCGTCAACCATTTTAGTACTTTCCCCGGTTTATTTTTATCTTATCAAATTTCTCTATCCTCTCTCCTTTGGGATGTCCTCCTGAAACGAAAGGCGCTTTACAAATTTAATCTTGCTGTTGTTGATACCATGGCATTGGCTGCACCCTCTTCTTTTGTGAAGACAGGTGCAAAGTACTCATTCAGGACGTCAGCCAATCCCTTTGCCTCCACAAGAAGATTTCCTCATTGGTCCCTAATTGGACCCAACTTTGACTAACCTTTTATTCTTTATATGCTTATAAAATACCTTAGGGTTCCCTTTTATGTTACCCGCTAATGTTTTCGCTAACAATCTCTTTGACCCTCTTATTTCGTTTTTCATTTCTCCTCTGTACTTTCTATGTTCTATTTGATTATCTTCTGTATTTTTGACCTAACATTTATCAAAAGCCCTCTTTTTCTGTTTTATTTTAACCCAAATTTCCTTATGCATCCGGAGAGGTTTGGATGCCCGACCTTTCCCCTTTGGGGGAATGTATTTGTTCTGTCCCCGAACTATCTCCTCCTTGAACACTTCCCATTGCTCATTAGCTGTTTTACCTGCCAATCTTTCTTTACAGTCCACCTTGGCTAGGTTCCTTTTTAACTCACTGAAATTAACCCTCTTCAAGTGGAGCATCTTCACCTTTGATTGGTCCTTGTCCCTTTCCATAAGTACTCTAAACCTAATGATGTTGTGATCACTGTTGTCGAGATGCTCTCCCACTGAAACCTGCTCCACTTCATTACCCAGAACTAGCTCCAGCACTACTTCCTTCCTTATTGGGCTGGAAACATACTGTTCCAGAAAGTTATCTCCTCCTTGTGGCAAGGAGGAGATGGGGTTATAACCCCATACGGCAACTTGAGCCTGCAGCTCACCAACCTTATTCATCACACTGCCATGTGACTCGCATTTACATATATGCACTCCAAGACCAACTTATTCTGTTCTGCATTTCTCCCCCATTAATCTCCCCCTTTTCTGGATAATACTCCTTATTGCATTGCTATTACTACTTGAAATTAGTTTAAACTTTTCCCCACAGAACTAGTTAACCTCCCTACAAGGACATTGGACCCACCCCTGTTTAGGTGTGACACATCCACCTTGTACAGGTCCCACCTGTCCCAGAACTGGTCCCAATGTTCCAGAAACCCAAAGCCCTCCTTTCTGCACCATTCCTCCAGCCATGCATTCATTTGTGTTTCATTCTGCTGCTTTGATACTCACTTTCATAATTCCCTGGGATTAATCCAGAGATTACTAAATTTGAGGTCCTACTCTTTAGCTTGTTCCCTAACTTCTAATACTAACCATGTAAGATTTCAGCCCTTTCTTCCCTCTATAGAATTCCCAACGTGCTCCACCTCACTCATTTCCCTCCTCACACTACTAGGTTCTCTGCTCAAGTAAGGCTCTTGAACGTCTTCTCCTTTATATAGGACTCAAACAAAACCACCCATTTCTTACTGGTCTGCATATTTTTTAATCCCCAACACTTGGCCCATGATTAACTGCTAATTGACTTGTTTGCCTGCTTACATATAAGGTTGCCCCTCTTCTGCTGAATGACAGAGTTCTCTCTTGCTCTCTGGTATCTCTCTTGCTGAAGAATTCCCTCTCACCAAATTCCTTAACAGAATTCTCTCTCTGTTCCACCTCACTCAGTTCCCTCCTCATGCTGCTGGGATCGCTTCTCAAGATCATTCAGGACTCTGCAGGTTGTGTTCTTTCCCGCCCCAGTCTCCATGACCCTATCACCCTCACTCGGCTCCACTGGTACCCCATTCCCCCAGAGGATAGAGTTCAAAACCCTCGTGCTCACTTTCAAAGCCCTCCAAGGGTCTTCCTCTTCCCTACTTCTGTAACTTGCTTAAACCTTACAACCTGTCAGCTCCCTCCGTCCGCTCTACAGGCACTGGCCTGCTTCATGTCCCCCATCCTGCTCGCCCGCCCCACCATCACCGATCGTACCTTCAAGCTTTTTGCTCCCACCGTCTGGAACTCCAACCCTCCTCCTCACTCCCTCCCTTGATTACTGCAAGGCCCGTTTCAAGACCCTCCTCGTTGACTGTACCTGTGGGCATCCTCAACTCCCCCACTACTTGATTTCCAACCCCCAGCTCAGATGAGAACCTTTAACTGTGCAGCATCTTGGATTGTCATCCCTACATGCAAGGCACTATGTAGATTAGAATACATTGGAATATACAGCACAGAAACAAGCCATTCAGCCCAACTAGTCTATGCCGGTGTTTATGCTCCACTCGAGCCTCCTCCTGCCAACCTTCTATTCCTTTCTCCCTCATGTACCTATCTAGCTTTCCCTTAAATACATCTATGCTATTTGCCTCAACTCCTCCTTGTGGTAGCATGTTCCACATTCTCACTACTCTCTGTGAAGAAACTTATTCTAACTTCCCTATTTGATTTATTTGTGATTATTTTATATTGATGGCCCCTTGTTTTGATCTCCCCCACAAGTGGAAACATCTTCCCTATGTCTACCCTATCAAAACCTTTCATTAAAGATCTCTATCAGGTCACCCCTTACCCTCCTCTTTTCAAGAGAAAAGAGTCCAAGTGTATTCAGCCTTTCCTGCTAGGTATAACCTCTCAATTCTGGAATCATCCTTGTGAATCTCCTTTGCACCCTCTCCAGTGCCTCTACACCCCTTCTATAATGTGGGGACCAGAACTTCACATAGTATTCTAAGTGTGGTCTAACCAAGGTTCTATAGCAGTTTACCATAACTTCCCTGCTTTTCATTTCTATCCCTCAGCAAGTTTATTAACGTCTTGCTGTAATTTGTTGCAGTCCTCCTCTGCATTAACCACTCCCCCAATTTGGTGTCATCCGCAAATTTTGAATTGTACTGCTGATTCCTGAGTCCAAATCATTAATGTATATTGTGAACAACAGTGGTCCCAATATCAATCCCTGTGAACACCATTGCCCACTCCCTGCCAGTCTGAGTAACTACCCTTCACCCCTACTCTCTGTTTTGTAGCCAGCTTGCTATCTTCAAAGAATTCAATGAAGTTGGTCAAGCATGACCTTCCTTTTTGAAATCCGTGCTGACTATTCTTTATTATATTTTCCATTTCTAGATGTTTTTCTATTACCTCCTTGAATAAGGATTCCATTAACTTTCCTACCACCGATGTTAAGCTGACAGGTCTATAGTTCCCTGGGCTTGCTCTATCTCCCTTTTTAAATATAGGTATAACATTAGCTAACCTCCAGTCCTCTGGCACTACTCCCTTTTCTAATGAGTTATTATATATGTGTAATAGTGCCTCTGCTATCTATTTGGCTATCGTCTCCTTGATCCCACATCCCCTGACCTTGAGCCACAAATTGTTTGTGTGGAACCTCGTCAAAAACCTTCTGAAAATCCCTGCACATCACATCAGCTGCTGTTGTTCCCCTCTTTAAAATGTCTCAAAGCCCTTCATAGAATTTATTGTAAAGTACAGTGACTATGTATTTTGTGGGTGAAACGTGGCAGCTAATTGGGCACAGCATTGTCCCACAAAGTCATGGATTGAGTGACCAAATTATTATTATTTTTTGACGAGATTATTACCCCCAGAAAAGTGATCCGCCAATCAACTAACAACCGGGTTCCTACTTACTGCTAGGTAAACAGAGGTGTGTGTAGCAAGGAAACTTGCCTAACATTTCGCCCTGCCAGGAACAAAAGTGAAAGTCGGTGTGTAAATGTAAATTTGTTGTTATTGTAAGTAACAGAAAATCTGCAGTTAGCAGTTACGATGGTCTTCCGTTTCCCACTCTCTCGACTCGTTCAAAAATAAGCTGCTGAAGAGAGGATTGAGGGCACCTACCTGTGTGGGCACAGGTAACCAACATTCTGTGAGGAACTGCTTTCATCTTTGAGTTATTCTTCAGTGTGGGTGCTGTAGACAATAAGATTCACATCAGGGAGCGGGAGTAACATGTCACACCGACCATCTCAACCCCCACCATCTCACCTCCACCATCTCACCCCCAACTCCACCATCTCACTCCCAGCCCCCCACTATCTCACCCCCACCCCCCACCATCTCACCCCCACCATCTCACCCAACTGGCCTCTGTGTACACAGACTCAGCAAACAATGGAGCTCAGTCTGCTGTTGAGTTGGTGTACCTGGCTCAGCCGTACTGCTGGCAGACAAACGGTTCGCAAACTTGAACGCTGTGGAAAGGAAAGATGTGAGGTGAGAGGTCAACAGCAGCCACTCTGGTCCTTGTTGTGAACCAGTCACATGATGTTTCGCCCACAAACTAGTTACTACACTTTACAGTATATTCTGTGAAGCGCTTTGAGATGTCTCGAAGACATGATAAGGCGCTATGTTAAATGCAAGGTTTATTATTCATAGTATTTACCATATGTTTCGGTGTCATCCAAATACATATGGAAGTTGACCCCATGTCTGCAGATGATGTCACCAAGATGGAGTACATAGATACTGAAGAGGGGGGGACCAAGAATAGAGCTCTGAGGAACCCGCACGAGATAGTGCGGGGGCGAGAGGCGAAACCGATTGTGGAGTTGAAGTGGAGAAGATGTGAGAGATAGGATCTGAACCATTCAAGGACAGAACCATGAAGGTTGAGGTGAGAGAGGCGATGGAGGAGGATAGAGAGTGGTCAATGGTATCGAAGACAGCAGTGGTCAAGAAGGATGAGGAGGCAGATGGGCAGAATATCATTTGTCACTTTGACCAGGGCTGCTTCTGTGCTGTGGGCGGCACGGAAACCTGATTGGAGAGGTTTGTGAAGCGTGTGGCGGGAGAGGAAGGAGCAAAGCTGGGAAATGACGACTCATTCCAGGATCATGGAAAGAAAGGTTGGAGATGAATTACGTACAGCAGTGTCCCACAAACAGTCGTTGATTGAGTGAGCAAATTATTATTTTTAGTTTTTTTTTGAAGGGATTATTACCAATAAAAGCAATCGGCCAATTGACTAGGTAAATAGAGGCATGTGGAATAAGGAAACTTGCACAATGTTTCACCCCGCCCAGGAATCAAACCCAGGTCATCTTGCTTGTGAGGAAAGTGTTCTAACTACTAATCTATAGGACTCCACAAACTGAGCAAACTGACTCTTGGTCTCCACATGAACAAGAACAATACCGTTAAAAACGTTGCTTACCTCGGACTAGGCTGGGTGTTGTTTTTTCAAAATGTCCCACAGTTCCTTTGAAAATAACACGAGGTCCAAATGTGGCTGCAGTAAAGACAAAGCAGATAGAAAAGACAGTGTCGCCAGCCCTGGCTGCTGAGCCAGTTAGCCTACGATTCCTGAAATGTACAGCACTCGAGAGGTAAAAGGTTGAATACAACAGGTGCTTACTTATATCTGCAGCAGCAGTTGTCCTGGGATGTTTCCTTACGATCAAATCATGTTCAGAATCTGTTGAAAAGGGAAGATAGGAGCAATTATTGCCAGCACTTCCCTCCAATCTCACAGCCAGTCACCATATGTTAACTGCAATCTGCTTTCACTGATAGCGGAGAGCTTGATATCCACACAAACCTGAACTGCCCCCATAAGAAAGCAGATCTCTGTGAGTGTGTGCGCGTATGTCTGCCTGTGCGTGTCTGTGCTGTGCTTTGAAGCGTTCTGAGATGCTGCCCTGCTATGCAAATTGTTGATGTGTATGTGTATCCATGGAGGACATGTGTTTCCTATTCTTACATCCTATATGTAGGATCTTTGGATTTATCAGTATTAAAAATTGCCAGTTATCAGCCCATCTACAGTGGAGGACAGTGGAGTCCTGTAGCTCAGTGGTTAGAGCACTCGCTTTGCAAGTGAGAGACCCGAGTTCAATTCCAGGCAGAGGGCGAAACCTTGGGCAAGTTTCCTTACTCCACACAGAGCCTAATAATAATCCCTCCAAAAACCAAAATAAAAATTGGTCATTTTCAATCTACGACTGTTTGTGGGACATTGCTGTGCGCAATTGGCTGCCACTTTCGCCCACAAATATAGTCAATTCACTTTACAGTGTGTTCTGTGAAGCGCTTTGGGACGTCCTCCCGACGTGAAAAGCGCTATATCAAATGCAAGGATTATTATTATTATTATTATCTATGTACCATAACAGGCTCTCTATCCTTTCGGTTTCCTCTGATTCCAACCTGGCATGCTGGGTCACTTAATGCGCGAGGGGCACTAGAGAAATGCAAGTTGTTGTTCTTGGTATCATCTGAACTGGGTCTGTGATTCCAGGGTCATTTATACAAACAATTTCTATTTATATAGCACTCCTCATGCAGGGTAGCATCCCTGAGCACTTAGAAGGAACCAGGCTGTTTGAGAGGATGATAAATGAGGAAGATTTTGAAGGAGAGGAAGGGATGGTACAGAGTTAAGTGTTTAGGGGGACAGAGTCACCAGGACTCAGCCTGCTTTCTAAACCCAAGGATGTTGATGTGATCGTCCAGGATGTCATGGATCGTAAAGATTTTATTGGAGACCCTGAGGCACCCACTTAATACCTCCTCCCCATTGTGACCTACATTTTGCTTCTTTCCCTTCAGCCAATTCTCAATCCGCTATGTGTTGTCCTTCATACCCAATGACATTGCTTACTTCGGACTAGGCTGGGTGTTGCTTTTTCAAAATGTCATGGTTTGTGAAGGAACCTTTAGTGAGGTACTTTGTCACACGTCCTTTTGAACATCTTGCGCTAAAGGAAAGTCCTTTATGCAGGGTAGCATGTCGGAGTACTTAACAGTGGTCGATTTTGACCTGAGGCAGGAAGGGGGGAAGGTGATGATAGGCATGATCGAACAGAAAGTCTAGAAGTGTGACCTGAAGGTAGGCAAGAGGGGGCAAGGCTGAGAGATTCAACAACAAATTGCATTTATACAGTGGTCGATCAGAAAGGTCTTGTGGGAGGCGAAGGGATTCCAGGATGGAGGTCCAGAGGGTGGGGACAGAAAGGCTGAAGGCTTGACTGCCGATGGTAGGGTGGGCAGGGTGGGGTTGTGACAGAGGCTAGTGGCTGTCGAGGTGAGAGCGAAGGAGATGGGAGTGGGTTGGGTGGCAGGGAGTTGGATGGAGGAGTTTAAAGGAGAAGATTGAGGCAGAATATTGGTAGAGTTTTAGAAGGTCACAAAGGGAGGGTAGAGGCAAGACCGTGGAGGGATTCTGGGGGATGGGGAGCTAGAGCATCGAGTTCAGGATTCTTGCAGGAGTAGAACCGATAGTTGTGAAGGAAAGTGATGAGGTTAGGTGGTGGTGGGAAAAGGGCCAGAGTAGGTGTTCAGATAGCTAGAGGGCACTAGAGAAGGAGTGGTGGGTGATTTATTTTCAGGGATGGAAGGAGATGGGAGTGGGTTGGGTGGCAGGGAGTCAGATGGAGGAGTTTAGAGAAGAAGATTGAGGTAGAGATGTGTTCAATGGATGGAACTTTGTGGAGTCCTGTAGCTCAGTGGTTAGAGCACTCGCCTTGCAAGCGAGACACCTGGGTTCAGTTCCAGGCAGGTCAGGGCGAAACCGTGGGCAAGTTTCCTTACTCCACACCCCTAATAATAATCCCTCCAAAAAACAAAACAATAACAAATTGGTAATTTTCAATCCACAACTATTTGTGGGACACTGCTGTGCACAATTGGCTGCCTCGTTTCACCCACAAATATAATACAGTCAATCCACTTTACAGCATATTCTGTGAAGCGCTTTGAGACGTCTAGAAGATGTGAAAAGTGCTATATAAAATGCAAGGATTATTATTATTACTATAGAGAATTCCGGAGTATCGGGGTGGAGTGGCTGAAAGCACGGCTGTCCCTGGTGAGCAAATGGAACGAGCGAGGTACAGAAGGACTGAGCTGCCTGAACTAAGTGGGTGGTGGAGTGGGGGAGTAAGCAGGTTGGAGAAGTAGGGAGGTGCCAGTGAATGAAGCGATTTATATGTGAAGTCTGAGGATCTTAAAATCGATCTGTTCTGCAATAAGCCCTTATATTAAAAAGTAATAATAATGTCACTCAATCCATGACTGTTTTTGTGGGACACTGTTGTGCGCAATAGGCTGCCGTGTTTTGCCCACAAAATATAGTGAATTCACTTCACAGTATATTCTGTGAAGCGCTTTGAGACTGTGATCGGTGGGGGACTGTGATCGATGGGGGACTATGATCAGTGTGGGACAGTGATCATAGAATCATAGAATTATTAACACAGGAGGCCATTTGGCCCATCATGTCTGTGGCGGCTCTTTGAAGAGCTGTCCAATTCAATCCCACTTCCCCGCTCTCTCCTCATAGCCCTGCAAACTTGTCCTACCCAAATAATTATCTACTTCTCTCTTAAAAGTTTTTATCGACTCGGCTTCCACCACCCTTTGAGGCAATGCATTCCAGATCTGAACACAAGCCATCAGTGAGTGGCCGGGATCCATGAGTGGCCGGGATCAGTGTGGGACCGCGATCAGTGTGGGACTGCGATCAGTGTGGGACCGCGATCAGTGTGGGACCGCAATCAGTGAGTGACTGCATCAGGTTGGGACTGCGTCAGGGTGGGACTGCGATCAGTGAGTGACTGTGATCAGTGTGGGACTGCTATCAGTGAGTGACTATGATGAAAAAATAGTATATATAAATCACAGATTCAAAATAGTATCTAAAAGAAGCAGAGGGGAGGTGAGAAGAAATGTTTTCACGCAGCGAGCTGTTCGAATCTGGAATGCATTGCCTGAAAGGGTGGTCGAGCCCGATTCGATAACTACTTTTAAAAACGTGGTGGACAGGTATTTGAGGAGCACAGGTTTGCAGGGTTTCTGAGCTTGAGGAGCTTGAGGAGTCACTACACAGCATATGGGAGGCTGAAGAGTTCATGGATCGAACGTTTCAGGAGGTGGTCACCCCACAGCCACAGAGGGTTCAGAAGGAGAATGAGTGGGTGACCACCCGACATGGTAAGAAGTGTGGACAGCCAGTGCAGAAATCCCGAGAGTGGCACTCACAAACCAGTTTGGTGTACTGAATACACAGAATGTGATGATACCTCTGGGGAGAGGAGTCAAAAGCAAATGGATGCACAGGGGTACACAGAGAAAAATGTCAATGCAATTGTCATTGGGGACACAATGGTGAAAGGAGTAGACAAGAGTTTTCGCAACCAAAGAAGTGACTCTCGCATGGTATGTTGCCTTCCTGGTGCCAGGGTTGAAGACATCATGGAATGGGTGCAAAACGTTCTACAGGGGGGAGGGGAACATCCAGCAATCGTGGTCCATGTTGGGATCCATGACGTAGGGAAAAAATGTGCTGAGATCCTACAAGAATAGTATCAGAAGCTCGGGAAAAAGTTAAAGAAGTAGGACCTCAAAGGTGGTGATCTTTGGATTACTCCCAGTGTCTTATGTGAGTATCAAAACAGCAGGATCAAACACATGAATGGATGGCTGGAGAAATGGTGCAGAAAGGAGGGCTTCAGGTTCCTGGAACATTGGGATTAGTTCTGGGGCAGGTGGGACCTGCACAAGGTCGATAGGTTACACCTGAACAAAGCTGGGTCCAGTGTCCTTGTAGTGGAGGTTAACTAGTGCTGTGCGGAAAGGTTTAAACGTTCGAGTAATAATAGCAATGCAATAAGGAGTATTATCCAGAAAAAGGAGAGATTAAACGGGGGAGAAATGCAGAGCAGAATAAGTTGGTCTTGGAGTGTGCGTAAATGCACAGAGTATGAAGAATAAGGTTAGTGAGCTGCAGGCTCAAGTTGCCACAGGAGGTTATAACTCTATCTCCTCCTCTTCACAAGGAAGAGATAACTTTCTGAAATAGTATGTTTCCAGCCCAATGAGGAAGGAAGCAGTGCTGGATCTAGTTCTGGGGAATGAAGTGGGGCAGGTGGAGCAGGCTTCAGTAGGAGAGCATCTGGACAACAGCGATTACAACATCATTCGGATCAGAGTACTTATGGAAAGGGACAAGGAACAATCAAAGGTGAAGATGCTCCACTTGAAGAGGGCTAATTTCAGTGAGTTAAAAAGGAACCTAGCCAAGGTGGACTGTAAAGAAAGATTGGCAGGTAAAACAGCTAATGAGCAATGGGAAGTGTTCAAGGAGGAGATAGTTCGGGGACAGAACAAATACATTCCCCCAAAGGGGAAAGGTCGGGCATCCAAACCTCTCCGGATGCATAAGGAAATTTGGGTTAAAATAAAACAGAAAAAGAGGGCTTTTGATAAATGTCAGGTCAAAAATACAGAAGGTAATCAAATAGAACATAGAAAGTACAGAGGAGAAATGAAAAACGAAAAAGAGGGTCAAAGAGATTGTATGAGAAAACATTAGCGAGCAACATAAAAGGGAACCCTAAGGTATTTTATAAGCATATAAAGAATAAAAGGTTAGTCAAAGTTGGGTCCAATTAGGGACCAATGAGGAAATCTTCTTGTGGAGGCAAAGGGATTGGCTGACGTCCTGAATGAGTACTTTGCACCTGTCTTCACAAAAGAAGAGGGTGCAGCCAATGCCATGGTATCAACAACAGCAAGATTAAATTTGTAAAGCGCCTTTCGTTTCAGGAGGACATCCCAAAGCGCTGGAGAGAGGATAGAGAAATTGGATAAGATAAAAATAAACCGGGGAAAGTACTAAAACGGTTGACGGTGCTCAAGGTAGATAAGTCATCCGGTCCGGATGGGATGCATCCTAAGTTAGCACTGTGGGGAGGAAGGGTGGAAATAGCGGAGGCTCTGGTCACAATCTTTCAAACCTCCTTGGACACCGGGGTGGTGTCAGAGGACTGGAGGGTTGCAAATGTTACTCCCCTGTACAAAAAGGGGCAGAAGAATAAACGCAGAAGCTACAGGCCAGTCAGCCCAACGTCAGTCGTGGAGAAACTTCTAGCGACTATAATCTGGGACAAAATAAATTTTCACTGATAAGTTTTTTTGGTGAAGTAACGGAGATGGTGGATGAAGATAATGCAGTTGATGTAGTTTATATGGATTTTCAAAAAATGTTTGATGAAGTGTCACATAAGAGATTTGTAAGCAAAATAGAAGCCCACGGTATTAAAGGGACAGTGGCAGCGGATACAGAACTGGCTGGGAGACAGAAAACAGAGAGTGGTGGTGAACAGTTATTTTTGTGACCGGAGGGAAGTGTGCAGTGGTGTCCCCCAGGGTCAGCATTGGGACCACTGCTGTTTTTAATCTATATAAATGACCTGGACGTGGGTATAGGGAGATCAATATCCAAGTTTGCAGATGATACTAAGCTAGGAACAGTAGTAAATGGTGAGATAGTGGCAGACCGTAAGAAGACATAGACTGACTGGTAACATGGGCAGACACGTGGCAGATGAAGTTTAATGTGGAGAAATGCGGAGTGATGCATTTGGGGAGGAAGAATGAGGAGAGGCAATATAAGCTGATGGTACAATCTTAAAGGGGGGGAAGGAACAGAAGACCTGGGGTTCATATAAGTAAATATTTGAAGGTGGCAGGACAGGTAGATAAAGCTGTTAAAAAAGCATACAGGTGCAAAGGAGATTTACTAGGATGGTACTAGGAATGAGGGACTTCAGTTATTAGGATAGGCTAGAGAAGCCGGGATTATTCTCCTTGGAGGAGAGGTTAAGAGTGGACTGAATAGAATTTTTTAAAATTATGCAGGGATTCGATAGGGTGAAGAAACTATTCAAATTGGGGGTTGGGTCGGTAACCCGAAGACACTGATTTAAAATAGTTGTTAAACGAAACATTGGGGAGATGAGGAGAAATTTTTTCATACGAGTTGTTCAGATCTGGAATGCATTGTGTGAAAGGGTAGTGGAACCAGATTCGATAACAACTTTTAGGAGAGAATTAGATAATTATTTGGGGAGGACACGTTTGCAGGGCTATGGAGAGAGAATGGGGGGGTGGGATTGATTTTGATAGCTCTTTTAAGAGAGCCGGCACAGACACAACAGACCAAATGACCTCCTTCTGCGCTGTATAATTCTATGATTCTATGATTAGTGTGTGACTATGATCAGTGTTTAGTTCAGTGATTGTAATGAATGACTAATATGTGGCAGTAGTGTGTGGCTCAGTGTTAGTGTGTTATTGCTGTGCTGTACCTGAAGTGTTCCCTGTTACAGCTAGCTCTGGTGTAGTTGTGTCAGCTCTCCTGTCTGTTAAAAAGAGAAGCAGAAATGCCATTGTCTATATGGCTGACAAGAGTCTGAGAGAGAAAATCAGAGGGTGTGGTGGGTGGTTTGTGCCATAGCCAAGCCCTAACCTAATCTCTCTGGGTGAGAATCAGCTGCTATGCCCAACACAAGCTCTCATGTTTGGTCTACTTACATAATTCCAGTCACATTTACACTGCACCACAATTGACACTTATACTGACCACCACTGACATACTAGGAGGCTGAAAGCCAAAGCCATAATGCGTAGGGTGGTCCTAGCTGGATAAGCAGCGGGAAAGCTTGCCAGACAGCGATATCAATGACAAGCTATGTAGTTTTAACTAGTTAGACTCCAGCAGTTACTACAACGCACTCTGGGGTCCGTCCCCAAGCCTTGGCTCTTGCCAAACTGCGCCTAATACTCTCCAGGATTCGGTAAGCAGGATGCATCCCTCTACGGAGAGAGTGCCAATTCCATTCCAACAATCTATCTCTGGGATTTTCATGTGCAGGTGGGATGAATGGAAATCTCAGATTGGTTGGATACTCTTGAGCACGGTGATGAGTTTCTGCATGTGTCAGACATCCAGCTGACTGCAAAAAAAAATTAAACATTGACATTTATACTGCACCACCATTTGTCCAAAATTATGAGTGTTTTGATAAAGAGTAATAGGGAGAAACTATTTCCTCTGGCGGGTGGATCGGGGGAATGGGTCGGAATGGATCAGCACAGGCACATGCTGTAAGATTCCATGATTCTATGAATTGACATTTATACATGTGGAAAGCCCTTCTCAGAGAACTTGAGCTGCTGACTTTGTGCTTTGTCACCGACCACCCCAGCTTCTTTAGCTCCGTCACAGAATGGATCAATGTCAAGTTCCTCACATTCCAACAATGCCCTAGGACCTCCCTCATCTGCTTACAATACAGTCCTCAACCTGTCCCCTCCACTCAGCTGGCTCCAGCCGTCTGCATGTGCCCCGATGCCACCGTTCCACCATCTGGTAACTGCTTTCAGCCACTACGCCCCAAACCTCAGGAACTCCCTGTTTCAATCCCTCCACTAGCCCCCTCTTTACCCGTTTTCAGATCCCACCTGAAGACTCTTTGATGGTTGGGTCACCACGCCTCTCTCCCTGGCTCAGCGTCAAACTCCACCATTGTTTAGCGCTCCAAGATCCTACTCTGCTTGAAGGGTACTATATCAATCAACTGATTGTATCTCATAACTACATCTTGTAATCACTGACTGCTTTGCCAGTGGGGATAGCTTCTCCCTATTCACTCTGTTAAACCCTCACCATTGTGTCCACCTCTATCAGCTCCTTTCAACCTTCTCAGATCCAGTGAAAACAGACCCAACTTCCCTAATCTCTCCTCATCACTAAAGCGTCTCATCCCTGGGATCATTCTCATTATAGGGTATCAGGAGTTGCATGAAATGTTCGTAAGAATATTATGTCCTATCCTCCATAGGCTGCAGATCATCCAGAAAGATAATTGGCAAAATAACTAGAGGGGAGATGAAGAAACATTTTTTTACCCAGAGAGTTGTTATGGTCTGGAATGCACTGCCTGAAAGGGGAGTGGAAACAGATTCAATAACAACTTTCAAAAGGGAATTGGATAGGTACTTAAAAAGAAAATATTTGCAGAATTATAAGGTAAGAGCGGGGCAGTGGGATTAGTTGGATAGCTCTTTCAAAGAATGGCCTTCTTTCTGTCCTGTAAGATTCTATGATGCTATGCTCACCATCTCCCAGCCTGGTAATGGGTGCTTTATGATTGATTTCTGTTGTAGCTGATGTTCTGGATATCACTTCTGAAGGATCAGTTCTTAACTCTTCTGCTGTATTAAGAAAGAAATATTAAATAATAAGCCTTGCATTTGGTATATAATAATAATAATCCTTGCATTTGATATAGCGCTTTTCACGTCGGGAGGATGTCCCAAAGCGCTTCACAGAACACACTGTAAAGTGAATTGACTGTATATTTGTGGGCGAACGCGGCAGCCAATTGCGCACAGCAATGTCCCACAAACAGTCGTAGATTGAAAATGACCAATTTATTATTGTTTTTGGTTTTGGAGGGATTATTATTAGGCTCTGTGTGGAGTAAGGAAACTTGCCCAAGGTTTTGCCCTCTGCCTGGAATTGAACTCAGGTCTCTCACTTGCAAAGTGAGTGCTCTAACCACTGAGCTACAGGACTCCAGTGCCTTATTGCATCTTCTAGACGTCTTAAAGCGCTTCACAGAATATACTGTAAAGTGAACTGACTGTGTATGTTTTGTGGCAGAAACACAGCAGCCAATTGCACACAGCAGTGTCCCACAAACAATCGTGGATTGAGTAACTAGTTTATTATTATTATTGTTTTGAAGGCAAAAGTGATCCGTCAATCGACTAACAAGTGGGTTCCTACTTACTACTAGGTAAACAAGAGTTGTGTGGAGTAAGGTGACTTGCCCAACATTATGCCCTGCCCAGGAATCAAACCCAGGTCCTCTCGCTTGCAAGGCGAGTGCTCTAACCATTAAACTACAAGACTCCATTAAACAAACCAAATAAGCATGGAATACACACACTCCAGTTAGCACACCATCTAAAACATTTTGTTTTGATCAGCCTGGTGTCTAGAATGGAATGTACCCTCTCCCCGAAGGAACACACCCTAATTCTGCATAGGTTGGAAAGAGCTGTCTACAGAATGTGCTGAAATTGAACTAGCTAAAAACCCCAAAGCTTGCCATTGAGAACACAATCTACCAAGTTTTCCCGCTACTTGTCCAGCTAGGACCGAGTTGTTCATTTGATACCTTAGCATGGGTTTGAGTCTCACGAGGTAGATGGCAGATACCAAGAACTCCCTGTGAGCTTCTGGGGAAACACTCAGCATGAAATGAGAGGATTGTCACTCGTGGAGCCCTGTAATGTTGTGGTTAGTGCACTTGCCTGGCAAGCGAGAGGACCTGGGTTTGATTCCCGGCAGGGCGAAACGTTAAGCAAGTTTCCGTAACCTACATGCCTCTGTTTACCTAGCAGTAAGTAGGAACCCAGTTGTCTATTGGCAGATCACTTTTCTGGGGGTAATAATCCCTTCAAAACAATAATAATAATAATTTGGCCACTCAATCCGTCCATGGCTGCTGCATTTCGCCCACAAAATATACAGTGAATTCTACTTTACTGTATACTGTGTGAAGTGCTTTGAGACGTCTCAAAGACGTGATAAGGCAATATATCAAAGGCAAGGATTATTATTATCTTTTCTACCATACATAACTTTTTTGTAGATAAATTCAGATTGCTGAATACAGAGGAACCAAAATCAGACTGAACTGAAGAATTGTGAACAATGCAAAGCTGCGCCAGTGACATTCTACCTTACCTGGCCACTCAGGGAACAGGAACCCATTGCTGCCTGATCCCTCTAAGGTGCAGTTAGGCAGAGCCCAGCCAGGATCACAGTGACACCGGTCATTGTTGTTACACACCTAGAATAATAGAATAAAACACAGAGGTCGCTTCATACCCCGGCCATGAAACTCCCAGCTCTACGGAGGAAGAGAGGTCCCTCAGCTCTGCAACAACAACAAATTACATTTATGTAGTGCCTGGCCATGAATATAATAATCATCCTTGCATTTCATGTAGCGCCTTATCATGACTTCGAGACATCTCAAACGCTTCACAGAAGGTACTGTACCACTGTTGACTGCATATTTGTGAACGAAACGCAGCAGCCAATTGCGCATCAACATTCATGGATTGAGTGCCCACATAAGAATATATATTTTTAAAAATTGTTTCTTTTGAAGGGAGTATTACCCCTGGAAAAGCGTTCAGTCAAAGGACTAGCAAACGGGTTCCTAGTCACTGCTAGGTAAAGGGGGGGGTGGAATGAAAGGGGGGGCAACGGGGAGCAGAGTGTAAGGGGGCGCGGAGTACAAGGGGGGGACAGAGTACAAGGGAGGTATGGAGGGCAAACGGGGTACGGAGGGCAAAGGGGGTGGAAGACATGGGAAGCGGAGGGCAAGGGGGTGGAGGACAAATAGGGGTAGAGGGCAAGATGGGGCAGAGGGTGAGGGAGTGTGGAGGGCAAATGGCGTGGAGGGCAAGATGGGGGAAGGCAAGGTGGGCAGAGGTCAAGAGGGGCGAAGGGCAAGGGAGGCAGAAGACAAGGGGGTTGGAGGGCATGAATGTAGAAGGCAAGGGTGGGTGGAGGGCAAGGGGGGGTGGAGGGCAAGGGGTGGTGGAGGGCAAGGGGGGTGGAGGGCAAGGGGTGGTGGAGGTAGGAAGAAGATCGAAGGCTCAGTCGAAGAGGAAGTTCTTGAGAAGAGTTTTCAGGGAAGAAGCAAGGGATAGGGTGAGGTGGAGGATTGCATTACAGAGGGTGGGGGCACAAAGGCAGAAGGCCTGACCTCTGATGTTGGCGCAGGTAAGGCGGGGGCCATGGAGCAGGCCAGTGGTTGCCCAGTAGGTCAGAGTTAGGGATGAGCAAGACTGTGGAGGGCTTTAAAGGTGAGGACAAGGATCTTGGAGTGCTGTAGCTCAGTGATTATAGCACTCGCCTGGCAAGTGAGAGACCTGGGTTCGATTCCCGGCAGGTCAGGGTGAAACCTTGGGCAAGTTTCCTTACTCCACACGCCTGATAATAATCCCTCAAGAAAAAAATAATAAATTGGTCACTTCAATCCACGACTGTTTGTGGGACACTGCTGTGCGCAAATGGCTGCCACGTTTCGCCCATAAAATAGTCAATTCACTTTACAGAATATTCTGTGAAGCGCTTTGAGACGTATAGAAGACGTGAAAAGCGCTATATCAAATGCAAGGATTATTATTATTGAACTCTATCCTCTGGGGGATGGGGATCCAGAGAACCGAGCAATGATGGGGATGATGGGGTCACGGATCCTGGTGCAGAAGAGGACACAAGCTGCCGAATTCTGAATAATCTGCAGCTTGTGGAGGGAAGAGCTGGGGAGGCCTAGTTAACATAGTCGAGCCTGAGCGCAATGAAAACATGGATGAGGGTCTTGGAGGCCTGGGGTGAGAGGTAGTGGCAGAGACAGGCAATGTTGTAGAGGTAGGGAAGGAGAATGGGTCAGGGCATGGATGTGGGGTTTGAATCACAACTGAGGGACTGCTTGACTCGCTGAGATGGAGAGTGCATCCATCCATGGATAGTGTTGCTGTCAGTGCTTGAGGCGTGGAGCTGCTGACAGGAGCTCAGGTACAAAATCTTGAATGTCCAGCACCTTTGGACCTTCTCCTGATATGAAAGGTGCTGGATAAACATAATTTGTTGTTGTCGCTCAGCTCTTCAGAGGAAGAGACGTATCTCAGCTCTAGTGCTCAGCTATGTCTCAGTACTCACCCCATGGCCGCTGCAGTAAGCATGGCACTTGTTCACACTGAACACCCTGACATTGCGACACATACCTTTGAAGCACACCTGAGGAAAGAGATACAGTGATTACAGATTGTGTGGATTCAGACAGACAAGGTGATTGCATGGAGTATTTACTTAGTGTGTCTCATCAATAGCCTGGCTACAATCAGGAATTTGCCACAAAGGGAAGTTACAAGAATGTGAGGATCAGCTCATTGCGAAGCCTGAATCTGTAACCGATACAGAACGTTGTCATTACAACTTGCATTTATAGCGACCTTCACGCAGATAGTCCAGGGAGGTGCAAGGGCAGGAAGGGATTTGAAAATGAGTGAGAGGATCTTGAAATTGATCAGTTCAGTAATTGGGAGGCAGTGGAGCCTGGCGAGGACTGGTGTGATGGGGGTACGGAGATTTACCTTTGCTGAACCGCAAGGTGTACCAGATGCCACCATATCAATGCCTTCAATGTCGCCCATGAAATAGGTTCCATGGCACTGAAAGTTCTTGCCTGTATTAGAAAAACGAGATACCACGGATACTGATCTTCCCCCAAGAATTAGTGATGCTCCTCTTTTACTGCACTGAAGTTTGCCACATTTCACATCTCTGCAGGAAAATTGCAAATAATAGGTTTTAATAGAGAAAATATGGAGAAATTGTTTCCACTGGCAGGTGGGTTGGTAACCAGAGGAACCAGTTTTAAGATAATTGGCAAAAGAACCAGCGGGGAGATGAGGGGAAATGCAGAGCTCCCGGGTAAGAGCAGGGGAGTGGGACTAGTTGGGGTAAGAACAGAGGAGTGTGGCTAGTTGGGGTACGAGTGGGGGAATGGGACTAATTGGGGTAAGTGGGGGGAGAGTGAGCCTAGTTAGGGCAAGAGCCGGGGGAATGGGACTAGTTGGTAGTTCTTTCAAAGAGCTAGCACAAGCACGATGGGCTGAATGCCCTCCTTTTGTGCTGTAAGATAATAATCCTTGCATTTGATATAGCGCCTTATATATTATTATCTTCAACCATGCCTTCCCCTCCCCTCCCTTCTCCCCCTGACCCCAACTCGGGGCTGACACTCTGTCCAGTGCCTTGGGACGTGCTCCCGACATGAAAGCGCTATGCAAATGCAATCTTGTTGATGTTACCATGTCTTCAAGGTGTCTCAAAGTGCTTCACAGAATATACAGCGTTTACCCTAGACTATGCATTTAGGTTAAAAACATGTTCACGATGAGTAGAGTTTCTGAGGATGTGAACAGCACATGTGACATTGATAATTTATACCTTTTCTCCCTTAATTAATGTAATTAATGCCCATATTGGTGGTAAGGCAACAACAATTTCCACTCATCGTGGAGTTCTGTAGCTCAGTGGTTAAAGCAGCTTCCCTCACAAGCGAAAGGACCGGAGTTCGATTCCCGGGCAGGGCGAAATCTTAGGCAAGTTTCCTTACTCCACACTCCTCTGTTTAACTAGCAGTAAATAGGAACCTGATTGTTAGTCGATTGGCCAATCGCTTTTCCGGGGGTAGCAATCCCTTCCAAAGAAAATATTTTTAAAAATTTGGTCAACTGCTGTGCGCAATTGGCTGCCGTGTTTTGCCCATAAAATACACAGTGAATTCACTTTATAGTATATTCTGTGAAGCTCGTTGAGATGTCTCGAAGATGTGATAAGGTACTGTATTAAATGCAAAAATTATTATTATATCTACGGTTTACAAAGCCCAATATCTATTCAGTGATGCCACTACAGACGACACCTCTTCTCACACTCACTTTATTGGGCAGCTCACAAAGGAACCATCATCCTTTCGCCCACAGTTTCCAAACTTGTTTCCTAATTTGTTCATGTACCAGTAGCAAATGAGGGGACTGGGAGTAGCATCTAAAGAGAGAGAAAGGAAGTAACTGGAGGAGAAACGAGTTACAGAGCAACATTTATATGGCGTCCTTCATCCCGTGCGCGTGTGCCCCTCAGTGTGCGTGCCCCTGAGTGTGCGCGCGCGCGCGCCCCTCAGTGCATGTATGTGTCTCTCACTGTGGGTTGGATACTCACTAGGTCCCCAGATATCCCTGCACTGGCTTTGCAGTGTGCGGCAGGCTCCATTGTAGCAGTAAGCATTTCCGTTGTCGCACGGATAAAAGTTCTTTTTGTACTGGTTGGTGGGACAGTGGGCCGAGGTTCCAGTGCAATACTCGGGGAAATCACACTCGCTGATTGGCTCCCTGCACACTCTGCGAGCTTTCACAAACTGTAAGCCGGGTTACACACACAATCACTAAATGCCATATTCACATATCAACGTGCAATGAGGTAAAACGTGCCTTTTTTACCAGTCCTCGCCAGGCTCCACTGTCATCAAATGTAACGATCTCAAGATCCTCACTCGTTTTCAAATCACTTCATGCCCTCGCATCTCCCTACCTCTCCAACCTGCTTACCCCCACTCCACCACCGCTGCCTCCGCCCAACTGGCTCCGGCCTCTTACTTGTCCCTCGTCCCATTTGCTCCCCACTCAGCGGCCATGCTTTCAGCCGCTATACCCCAAAATTCTGGAACGTGCTCCCTCAATCCCTCCGTCTTGCTCCTTCCCCTCCTTCTGTAGGGCCAGCAGTGAGGGGTACACAGGGCCAGCAGTGAGGGGTACACAGGGCCAGCAGTCAGGGGTACACAGGGCCAGCAGTCAGGGGTACACAGGTACAGCAGTGAGCGGTTCACACGGACAGCAGTGAGCGGTACACAGGGACAGCAGTGAACGGTACACAGGGACAGCAGTGAGCGGTACACAGGGACAGCAGTGAGCGGTACACAGCAATGAGCGGTACACAGAGACAGCAGTGAGGGGTACATAGGGACAGCAGTGAGCAGGGACAGCAGTGAGCGGTACACAGGGACAGCAGTGAGCAGGGACAGCAGTGAGCGGTACACAGGGACAGCAGTGAGCAGGGACAGCAGTGAGCGGTACACAGAGACGGCAGTGAGCAGGGGCAGCAGTGAGAGGTACACAGGGACAGCAGTGAGGGGTACATAGGGACAGCAGTGAGCAGGGAGAGCAGTGAGCGGGGAGAGCAGTGAGCGGGGTCTCTGGGCACATGTGTGTAGCACGGGAGGAGACAGAGAATTGTAAGAAAAGCTTACTTTGCAGTTTTTACAGCACACGTCATTTGAGGCACATTTTGCCCCAGGCCAGAGCTGACAAATAGCTGCCACACAGCAGGGATCGGTACATTCCTAAGGTATGAGCAGGAGATTGTTAGACACACACACATCCACAGGAACAGCCTTTCAATCAGTACTCAAAGCATGTGTCATCCTTGCTCACTTGGTAGAGTTCTCTCTCACTTCTGAGTCAGATCAAGATCCTCACTGACCTACAAATCACCTCCCTACCTCCCCAACCTGCTTATGGCCATTCCCCTTCGCTCAGCCAGCTCGGGATCACTGGGGGTGCCCACATGCTTCCAGACACTATAATAGTCCTTGCATTTGATATAGCGCCTTATCACATCTTCGAGACAACAACAACAAATTACATTTGTATAGCGCCGAAAAGACCTCCCAGCGTGCTGGACAGTCAGAGTTTTTTGGACCTGAGCTTGAGAGTTGGGGCCAGGAGGGTTGGAGGGCAGGCGGGTTGGGGGTAAGAGAGTGGCCAAAGGCACGGTCGAAGAGGAAGGTCTTTAGATGAGACTTGAAGGAGGCTAGAAAGGCGTTGAGCTGGAGAGATTGCGGGATAGATTTCTAGAGTGTGGGGGAAAAGATGCTGAATGCCTGACCACCGATGGTGGGGTGGGAAGCGCGGGGGACCTGGAATAGCCTGTCCGCCGAGTGGAGGGAGTGGACAGGCTGATATGGGGTTAGGAGGTCGGATAGGTAGGGGGGAGCAAGACCGGGAAGGTGAAAACTATAGTTTTGTACTCGATTTTCTGAGGAATAGGGACCCAGTGAATTCGGTGAAGAACGGTGGTGATTGGTTCACAAAGCCTGGTTTGGGGGAGGACACGAGCTGCAGAGTTCTGAACAATCTGTGAAGGGAACAGTTGGGAAGTCCAGCGAGCAGGCAGTTGGCGTAGTCAAGCTGAGCGTGATGAAAGCAAGGATCAGGTCTCAGCGGCCTGCGGTGAGAGGCAGTGGTGGGCAATGTTGTGGAGGTGGGGAAAAGCGGAAAGGGAAGTTTTTTTTTAGGGTAGGCTGTCTTTAGGGGGACGGTACAGTGCCAGTGGACAGGGAGAGGTTAAACAAGGTCTGTTAGTGGGGGAGGGGGGCAAGGAGGTGGAGTTGGGAGGTTAGGAGAGGGAAGTCATGGAACCAGATGGTGGGTTTCATACGGAAAATGATGGAGGTGAGCGAAGAGGGAGAGACAGGGTCAAAAGTGGGGAGGGAGGGATGGGGTGAACAAGAGGTGGGAACTGGGTGGCGGTAGAGGGCGTAGAGGCAACAGAGCGCATCGCCTCGTCTTTGGACTCGAGAAAATCCATCGTCTCAAAGTGTTTCACAGTGCTGAAATCAGAGAGTGACTAATTCCCACAGACACACACCCGGCCTACCTCAGGCTTTCCACAGTCACACTCTTCCCCTGGATCCACATATAAGTTTCCACATTTTCCTCGCACCAGCAATTCAGGGTCCGGCAGGTTAAACAGGCACATCCCAACACCTCGAGCCAGGCTGCGCTGCAGACTATCTCTGCTGCAGCTGCTGAAAACTTGTGGTGGTTGAAGACTAAAAGAAGGCATTGAGGCAGTTAGAGACAAAGGAGCTGCTCGTGAATGCATTGTTAGCGATGAACTGGTTCCCCAATGCCAGATGCCCGTGTGGGGCTGTCTGGCCTGGGATGTCCGCCCGAGGTGAAAGGCACTATACAAATGTAATTCACCACCCGCAAACTCACACTGCCCACATACTCACCCATATTAAACTCCGTACCCCCATCACAGCAGTTCTATCACTGAATGGGTTGATTTCAAGGTCCTCACATTCATTTTCACATTCCTGGCATATCCCTATCTCTCCAAACTGCTTCCCCACCATCCGCTGCCTCTGCTCGACTGGCTCCGACCTCCTGCATATCCCTTGTGACCTCCATTCCACCATTGGTGGCCGTGGGTTCAGCCACTATGCCAGAAAACTCTGGAACACTCTTAATCTATCCCTCCACCTTTCCCCATAGTTCCCCATCTTCAGATTGCTCCGGAAGACTTTCCTCTTTGACCTAACCTACGGTCACCTCCCCCGCCCTCCAGCTCAGTGTTGTGCTCCGTCACTGTCAAGTGCTCTGGGACGCTACACAGCATGAGGGATGCTTTGTAAATATAAGTTATTGTTGTCATTTGTTGTTGTTTTTGTTGGTCTGGACTTCCATCACAGTGCTCTCTCCTTCTTCCACCCTCAGAGGATAGTGAAGTCCTGCAGCTGAGTGGTTAGAGCACTCGCCTTGCGAGAGGATACACCAATCAACAACAACAAATTATACTTGTATAGCGCCTTTCACGTAGGAAAGATTTCCCAGGCCGCTGTATAGTCAGTGGGTTTTCAGACCCAAGATATGAGTTAAGGTCAGGAGAGGTGGAGGTCAGGGGGAGGGGGGATGGGTGGGAGGATGGCCAAAGGCACGGTTGAAAAGGAACTTCTTTAGATGAGACTTGAAGGAGGCAAGAGATGGGGTGAGGCAGAGAGATTGCGGGATAGAGTTCCAGAGTGTGAGGCAGAGATGCTGAATGCTTGACCACCAATGGTGGGGCAGGAAGTGCGGGGGACCGGAAGCAGGCGGATGTCGCCGAGCGGAAGGAGCAGACAGGCTGGTATGTAGTTAGGAGGTCTGAGAAATAGGGGGAGCAAGACCAACGAGGACTTTGATGATGAGTACAAGGGTTTTGTACTCAATTCTCTGAGGCATAGGGAGCCAGTGAAGCCGGGCAAGAATGGGGATGATAGGGCTTGTGGAGCCTGGTGCGGGAGAGGACACGAGCTGCAGAGTTCTGAATAATCTGCAGAGTTGAGAAGACCAGCGAGCAGGCGGTTGGCATTGATAACATGACTGTTGACAACAACAGCAATCGACTAAGTTAATTAAGGGTTCCTAGTTATTGCGAGGTAAACAGAGTGTGGAGCAAGGAAATTTACCAAAGGTTTTGCCCTGTCCCACCCGGGAATTGAATGCAGATGGGCAAGGAGATGTTGGCAAGAGCCGAGGTGGATGGATTCCATCTTGCTCAGCTGATCTGAAGGTTAAGGATCACAAGTATTTTGGCTCTGGTCTACATATAATCAGACAAATGTGGACAATAACTAATTTCTACATCTTACTCACCCTTGGATTTCAGCCATGATGCAGCCTGCTTTCCTGTCTGCACAAACACAGAGGGGAGCTGGGGAGTCGTGGCCCATTCCTAAATTGTGTCCAATTTCATGGGCTAAATTAGAAGCAATCCCTAAACTGTCAGCTGTATTGTCCTAGAAAAAGAAAGTCATTTAGGGAGAAACAATCAAGAAGATAATAATTATAACAATGATAATTCTTGCATTTGATATAGCGCCTTATCATGTCTTCTAGACATCTCAAAACGCTTCACAAAATATACCGTAAAGTGAATTGACTGTATATTTTTTGAGCGATGGGCCAATTAACTAACAACTGGGTTCCCACTTACTGCTAGGTAAACAGAGGCGTGTGGAGTAAGGAAACATGCCTAACATTTTACCCTGCCTGCGAATCAAACCCAGGCCCTTTTGCTTGTGATGCGAGCGCTCTGACCACTAAGCTACAGCCATATGCACAATGCTATCCACACATAAGATGGTTAGTTCTAGGAATATGCACGCAATGTGCAAATAGGTCACTTCTTTAAAGAGTACAACACGTACAAACAATGTGACGCTCACCAAAGCAATACCTCCCGAGTAATCCGACGAGCACATGGAGCTGAACTGAGCTGGTTGTTCTGTGACATTTCCATATGTATTTCCCCTATGAAACAAACACAATTCACACAATAACACAATAACGATGTCAGAGAGCGAGCGGGCTGGGGCTGGGAGCGAGTGGGCCGGGGCCGGGAGCGAGCGGGCCGGGGCCGGGAGCGAGGGTGCGGGCTGGGGCCGGGAGCGAGGGTGCGGGCTGGGGCCGGGAGCGAGGGTGCGGGCTGGGGCCGGGAGCGAGGGCGGGCTGGGGCCGGGAGCGAGCGAGCGGGCTGGGGCCGGGAGCGAGCGAGCGGGCTGGGGCCGGGAGCGAGCGAGCGGGCTGGGGCCGGGAGCGAGCGAGCGGGCTGGGGCCGGAGCGAGCGAGCGGGCTGGGGCCGGGAGCGGCGGGCGGGGGAGGAGCGGAGCGGGGGCAGGGAGCGAGCGAGCGGGCAGGGAGCGAGCGAGCGGGCAGGGAGCGAGCGAGCGGGCAGGGAGCGAGCGAGCGGGCAGGGAGCGAGCGAGCGAGCGGGCTGGGGCCGGGAGCGAGCGAGCGGGCTGGGGCCGGGAGCGAGCGAGCGGGCTGGGGCCGGGAGCGAGCGAGCGGGCCGGGAGCGAGCGAGCGGGCAGGGGCAGGGAGCGAGCGGGCAGGGGCAGGGAGCGAGCGGGCGGGCAGGGAGCGAGCGGGCAGGGAGCGAGCGAGCGGGCAGGGAGCGAGCGAGCGGGCAGGGAGCGAGCGGGCAGGGGCAGGGAGCGAGCGGGCAGGGGCAGGGAGCGAGCGGGCAGGGGCAGGGAGCGAGCGGGCGGGGCGGAGCGAGCGGGGCTGGGGCCGGGAGCGAGCGAGCGGGCTGGGGCCGGGAGCGAGCGAGCGGGCTGGGGCCGGGAGCGAGCGAGCGGGCTGGGGCCGGGAGCGAGCGAGCGGGCTGGGGCCGGGAGCGAGCGAGCGGGCTGGGGCCGGGAGCGAGCGAGCGGGCTGGGGCGGGAGCGAGCGAGCGGGCTGGGGCCGGGAGCGAGCGAGCGGGCTGGGGCCGGGAGCGAGCGAGCGGGCTGGGGCCGGGAGCGAGCGAGCGGGCTGGGGCCGGGAGCGAGCGAGCGGGCTGGGGCCGGGAGCGAGCGAGCGGGCTGGGGCCGGGAGCGAGCGAGCGGGCTGGGGCCGGGAGCGAGCGAGCGGGCTGGGGCCGGGAGCGAGCGAGCGGGCTGGGGCCGGGAGCGAGCGAGCGGGCTGGGGCCGGGAGCGAGCGAGCGGGCTGGGGCCGGGAGCGAGCGAGCGGGCTGGGGCCGGGAGCGAGCGAGCGGGCTGGGGCCGGGGAGCGAGCGAGCGGGCTGGGGCCGGGAGCGAGCGAGCTAGGGCTGGGACTGGGCTGGGGCCGGGAGCGAGCGAGCGGGCTGGGGCCGGGAGCGAGCGAGCGGGCTGGGGCCGGGAGCGAGCGAGCGGGCTGGGGCCGGGACGCGAGCGAGCGGGCTGGGGCCGGGAGCGAGCGAGCGGGTGGGGCCGGGAGCGAGCGAGCGGCTGGGCCGGGAGCGAGCGAGCGGGCTGGGGCAGGGAGCGAGCGAGCGGGCTGGGGCAGGGAGCGAGCGGGGCTGGGGCAGGGAGCGAGCGAGCGGGCTGGGGCAGGGAGCGAGCGAGCGGGCTGGGGCCGGGAGCGAGCGAGCGGGCTGGGGCCGGAGCGAGCGCCCTGGGGCAGGGAGCGAGCGCCCTGGGGCAGGGAGCGAGCGCCCTGGGGCAGGGAGCGAGCGCCCTGGGGCAGGGAGCGAGCGGGCTGGGGCAGCGAGCGCGCTGGGACAGGGAGTGAGCGGGCTGGGGCAGCGAGCGCGCTGTGACAGGGAGTGAGCGGGCTGGGGCTGGGACTGGGAGCGGGCTGGGGGTGGGAGCGAGCGCGCTGGGGGTGGGAGCGGGCTGAGGCTGGGGGTGGGAGCGAGCGCGCTGGGGGTGGGAGCGAGCGCGCTGGGATGGGGAGCGAGCGGGCTGGGACGGGGAGCGAGCGGGCTGGGACGGGGAGCGAGAGGGCTGGGACGGGGAGCGAGCGGGTGGGGACGGGGAGCGAGAGGGCTGGGACGGGGAGCGAGCGGGCAGGGACGGGGAGCGAGCGCGCTGGGAAGGGGAGCGAGCGGGCTGGGACGGGGAGCGAGAGGGCTGGGACGGGGAGCGAGCGGGCGGGGACGGGGAGCGAGAGCGCTGGGACGGGGAGCGAGCGGGCTGGGACGGGGAGTGGAGCGCTGGGACGGGGAGTGGAGCGCTGGGACGGGGAGTGAGAGCGCTGGGACGGGGAGTGAGCTTGCTGGGGCTGGGGCTGGGAATGAGAGGGCTGGGCTGGGAGAGGGAGTGAGTGTGCTGAGACGGGGAGAGAAACACGGATTGGGAGAGATGTCCTTACATGACTAGCTGAGCATTGTCGTTGTACAGTCTGGGCAGAAGGTTGAACTTTCTCCACTGGAGGAAGCGTTTGAGTATTCCCAGAGCGTTTGTATCAACAGGGATCTGATCTACTGTCCAAACCTCTACTCCAATCAGTGCGATTCGGATGGATAGCGGTCTGTAAAACTAGTGAGTCAAGTCACGCTCTACGTCAGGTTGAATGAAGGCAGTTTGGAAGAATACAATCTTAGCCCTGATCACCTCCACCATCTTATACAAAGACACATCCACCCCTCACTCCACAATTGAACAGAATCCAGCCTGTCCTCTCGGTGTCACACACACACTCAGCCTCTCGGTGTCACACACACAGCTTCTCACTCACACACACACAGCCTCTCACTGTCACACACACACACAGCCTCTCAGTGTCACACACACACTCAGCCTCTCGGTGTCACATACAAACATAACCTCTCAGTGTCACACACACACCATCTCACTGTAACATGCACACACCACCATCTCACTGTTACATGTATAATTACACACACAGTCTCCATATGCACACACACACACACATATATATATATAAATAAATGACTTGGACGAAGGAATAGTCAACAACAACAAAATTACATTTATATAGCACCTTTCATGTCGGGAGGATGTCCCAAGGTGTTGAAAATAGTTTTATATTGAAATTTGCAGATGACATAAAGTTAGGAGGCACAGTAAATTGTGTAGATGGGAGCAGGAGGATACAGGGACTTAAGATAGATTGTGAGTGAGCAAAACCATGGCAGATTGAATTCAGTGTGAGGTCATCCCTATGGATCCAAAAATAGGAAAACAGATTATTTTCTAAATGGTGAAAAACTGAGAAACTAAGAACTGTGGAGGAGCAAAGGGATTTGGGTGTCCACGTACACACATCACTAAATACAAGCTCACAGGTACAAACAATTATCTAAAAGGCTAATGGGAAGTTGGCCTTTATTTCAAGGGGCCTGGAATATAAAGGAGAGAAAATGATGTTTCAACTATACAGGGCCCCATTTGGAGTACAGCGTTCAGTTTTGGGCACCGCACCTCAGGAAGGATAAATTGGCTCTGGAGGGGGTGCAGAACAGATTCACCAGAATGATACCAGGGCTTAAAGGGTTAAATTATGAGGACAGGTTCCATAAACTTGGTCTGTGTCCCCTTGAGTTTCGAAGGTTGAGGTGTGATCTGATTTGAGAAGTTTAAAATAATAAAGGGATTTGATAGGGTAGATACAGAAACTATTTCTCTGGTAGGGAATCCAGAACAAGGGGCCAGCCTTTTAAAATTAGTGTTAGGCCATTTAGGAGTGAAATTAGGAGGCAGTTTTTCACCCAAAGGGAAGTGGAAATCTGGAACTGTCTCCCCTGTGTGGAGAGAGGCTGTGAATGCTGGATCCATTCACATTGTCCAGACTGAGGTGGATAGATATTTATTAGGTCAGGCAGGTAATTGGACTTGAGGTGCAGATCAGCCTTGATGGTGAAACAGACTTGAGGGGCTCAATGGCCTACAACAACCACAACAAACCTACTCCTGTTTCTATGTCTCACTGTTACATGCACACACACACACACACACACAGTCTCACTGTTATACACACATATTCCCTGGGGAATGAAATGGGGCAAGTGGAGCAGGTTTCAGTAGGAGAGCATCTGGACAACAGTGATCACAACATCATCAGGTTTAGTGTAAAAAAAGGTTAAGTCAAAGGTAGGGTGGGTCCAATTAGGGATCAAAGAGGAAATCTTCTTATGGAGGCAGAGGGCATGGCTGACATACTGAATGAGTTCTTTGCATCTATCTTCACAAAAGAAGAGGATGCAGCCAATACCACGGTATTGGAGGAGAGGATAGAGAAATTGGATAAGATAAGAATAAACCGAGAGGAGGTATTAAAAAAGGTTGATAGTACTCAAGATAGATAAGTCACCTAGTCGGTTGGGATGGAAGTAAGGGTAGAAATAATAGAGGCACTGGTCACAATCATCCTTGGATATCAGGGGTGGAGCCAGGGAACTGGACGGTTGCAAATGTTACAACTCTGTACAAAAAGGGGTCAGAAGGATAAACCCGGGAACTACAGGCGGGTAGTCAGTAGTTCCCTACTACTGACTACCCGCCTAACGTCAGTAGTGGGGAAACTTTTAGAGATTATAATCCGGGACAAAATAAATTTTTACTCATAAAATATGGGTTAATAAAGGACATGCAACATGGATTTGCTAAAGGCAAATCACGTCTAACAAATCAGATAGAGCTTTTTGATGAAGTAACGGAGATGGTGGATGAAGGTAATGCAGTTGATATAGTTTATAAGTATTTTCAAAAGGCGTTTGATAAAGTGCCACATAAGAGACTTGAAAGCAAAATAGAGGCCCACGGTATTAAAGGGACAGTAGCAGCGGATACAGAACTGGTTGGGAGACAGAAAGCAGAGAGTGGTGGTGAACAGTTGTTTTTCTGACTGGAGGGAAGTGTGCAGTGGTGTCTCCCAGGGGTCGGTATTCGGACCACTGCTGTTTTTGATCTAAATAAATGACCTGGACTTGGGTATAGGGAGATCAATATCCAAGTTTACAGGTGATACTAAATTAGGAAAAGTAGTAAACAGTGAGGAGGATAGAGAACATAGACTGACTGGTAACATGGGCAGACACGTGGCAGATGAAGTTTAATGTGGAGAAATGCGGAGTGATGCATTTGGGGAGGAAGAATGAGGAGAGGCAATATAAGCTGATGGTACAATCTTAAAGGGGGGGAAGGAACAGAGAGAACTGGGCTTTCAAATAAGCAAATCTTTGAAGGTGGCAGGACAGGTAGTTAAAGCTGTAATAAAGCATATGGGATACCAGGCTTTATAAATAGGGGCATAGAATACACAAGTCAGGAATTTATGATAAATCTTTACAAAACACTGGTTAGGGCTCAGCGAGAGACTGTGTTCAGTTCTGGGCCCCACACTTTAGGAAGGACGTTAAGGCATTGGAGAAGGTGCAAAGGAGATTTACCAGGATGGTACCAGGAATGAGGGACTTCAGTTATCAGGAGAGGATAGAGAAGCTGGGATTATTCTCCTTGGAACAAATAAGGTTAAGAAGAGACTTAATAGAAGTTTTCAGAATTATGAGGGGATTTGATTGGGTGAACAAGGAGAAACTATTTCCACTGGCGGGTGGGTTGATTTAAAATAGGTTTTAAAAGAAATGGAGGTGAGGAGAAATTTTTTCACACAGTGGTGTGTTTGGATCTGGAATGCATTGCTTGAAAGGGAGGTTGAAGCCAAATCAATAACAACGTTTATGAGAGAAATAGATAATTATTTGAGGAGGACAAGTTTGCAGGCGCACGATGGGCCAAATGGCCTCCTTCTGTGCTGAATAATTCTATGATTCACACACACACACAGTCTCAGTGTTACACAAGCACAAACACACCATCTCACGGTTGTACAGATTTTATTATTTCACATCTCTGTGTACTATTCACCACTGCTTAAAGAGAGAGCAATTTTATGGCCAAATTTGTGACGGCTGATGCCTGGGCCTGCAAAGTGGTTAAAGTCACCTAAAACCTCTCATAGCAGCTCTATCCCCATCGTAGCAGCTCTATCCCCATCTATCCAGCAATTTCAGTAAAGCTTTTCAAACTCACCAAATCTACGTAATTAGCAGCATTGACCAAGCGATTGATAACTTTTCGTTTGCTGTGAAATGCACTGCGATACTGAAATAAGGAATCACATGATATACGGCAATGTGGTCAGCAGATTACATGTTCTCCACCTCTCCTGATCCAAACCCCCAGCTCAGGTCCTGATCCCTGACTGTCCAGCGCCTTAGGATATCCCCCCTACACACACAGCACACCCCTCCCCACACACACAGCACACTCCTCCACCCCTCCCCACACACAGCACACCCCTCCCCCCACACATACACAACACACCCATCTCAATTCCACATGCACCCCTTCCAATCCAGCCCACGCAGTATAGCCCTCCCACTTATGCCCACACCACCCCTGCCCACATTGTATTTGGAAGCAGTGATAGCTTGTGCATTGTATATGGTTTATGTACCTCTGCATTGTCGGCAACTAGCACCAGCTCAATGTGCTTCACCTCTGTGCTCAGACTCCTTTTTAGCTGAAAAAAAGTGAATGACTTTAAAGCAGGTTTGGAGTAATATTCACAGGCATTACATTCACCACATCACGTATATAATGAATGGAATACAAAAGGTTCAGATGTAAAAGGCACTTTAACCAATTTCATCTTGTCCTGCCCAAACACCTATCTTAGCCTGGCTGGAAGGGGAAGAAGGAGAGCGGTATCTCAAAGCAACCTTTTAGACTTTGTTTAGTCCTGCAGTTTCGTGGTTAGCATGCTCGCCTTGCAAGTGAGAGGACCTGGGTTCGATTCCCAGGCAGGGCGAAACGTTGGGCAATACGATACAAAATTACATTTACACAGCGCCTTTCATGTTGGGAGGACGTCCTCCTGGGGTAATAATCTCCCCCCCCCCTCCCCCGCATCAAACAATAATAATTTGATCACTGAATCGACTGTTTGTGAGACACTGCTGGGTGCAATATACAGTCACTACCATTTACATATTCTGTGAAGCACCTTGTGCCGTCTCAAAGACGTGATTAGGCGCTACATCAAATGCAAGGATTATTTTATTGTTATTAGAACATGACAGCTCCTTTCTTTTCAGTGTTTTTCTTTGATTTAACGTTGTTTATGTCCTGTGCTAAATTACATATTGCTGTCACTGTCACCCGATCGATGACCTGCAACACAAAGCTCCTCAAACCTACCAATATGCTGTGTCAATCAGACATCAAACGTGATGCTTACCCGATGTGAATGCTCAATAGAGTTTTTGGCCACCTCAGGGAATGAGTGTCTGAGGCTACATCTGCGCTCTTTTGATTTGAGTTGTTCAGGTTTATACATCAGGTGGCGCCCTTGTTCATCTTCCTCGAGGTGCTCAATAACGTAACTCTGGTTTGTGAGCAGAATGAGAGCACTGACAGTGAGACAAGAAAGGCAAAGAAGGTGAAACAGATTTATTTTTGCATCTTTAAGTATATTGCAGAGGAGCCTAAAGAGGTTATAAAATTGCTATTTGATTGGAGTCAATGGTGCAGATTACATTACCCTGCGTGAAGGAAACAGAAATATTGTACAGCCTACTGCTTACAATGGTTTTTCCTCCTTGCACGGTCACTGACGGTATCTCAGAGCTCTATGCTTGGCCCCACTTTATTCTCATCTACATTCTCCCTCTTAATCTATACTAATAAAACGACAATGTCTGTCTGCGCTTCAAGAAAGATCCCCATAACCGATTGACATAGAGACATGATTTATACTCTTCAGAAAGTTCTTGATCTGGGAGTGACATGGGCATATTGTTTTTGGATATCTCCTATCATTCATGAGTTATGACCTAAAATGTATTTCAGTTTTGCGTTTTTCGCTGCAGTTACACCTGGTGGCCGCCGAATCAAAGCGGTGCTGTGGCATCGTACATCACCACGCACCACGCACCTCCGTCTGTACGCACGCGCACACTGCAGTTACGTCTTGTGGCTGCACTGGCTGAAAGTGGTACAGAGTACGCACGTAGCCAAGCGGCGGTGGGAACAAAATAAAGAGCACAAGCGAAACTAAGCTCGCGGCAACAATAAAATTACAATTATAAAAGCGCCTTTCACGTCGGGATGACATCCCAGTGATTGTAAATTATACATTATATATGCAACAGTATGCCAAAATGAGTTGCCCACTCAAAGAACAGCATGGCCAAAATTAATCCTCCCACAGGAGTCCTCCCAGCTGAGTAAAGAGTAAAGATAAAGATGAAATGTCTGTCTGTGTGTCAATCTACATTCCATATTGGATTCTTTGGTTGCAAGTGAATCTGCAATGGGTACAGCGAGACACCGGGGTTCAATTCCAGGCAAGACGAATCCTTGAGCAAGTTTCCTTACTCCACACAGAGCCTAATAATAATCCCTCCAAAACAAAACAATAATAAATTGGTCATTTTCAATCCATGACTGTTTGTGGGACACTGCTGTGCGCAATTGGCTGCTGCGTTTCGCCCACAAATATACAGGCAATTCACTTTACAGTCTATTCTGTGAAGCTCTTTGAAACGTCGAGAAGACGTGAAAAGCGCTATATCAAATCAAGTATTATTATTATATTATAGCTTGTAATATATAATCATCTTTGCATTTGATATAATGCCTTATCACATCTTCAAGATGTCTCAAAGTGCTTCACAAAATATACTGTAAAGTGAATTGACTGTATATTTTGTGGGTGAAATTCGGCAGCCAATTGCACACAGCAGTGTCCCACAAACAGTCATGGATTGAGTGACCAAATTATTATTATTTTTTGAAGGAATTATTACCCCCAGAAAGGACTCCCCTTGTTGTTCCAGGTTTACTCAGCACTAGTTGCCAAATCCAGGTCCTCATGTGAGGGGCCCTGGCAAACAGACATGCCCTCTGTGAAGCCGCTTCCAACTCCAAGTGCTTAGTGACAGATCAGTGTAGGCCAGAGTCCTCCCTCCCTGCAGCTGCTTCCCGTATTTGCCACAAATTCACCTCACTGCTTATCCTGGACTTTGTAAATGAGCTGGAGGAGATCCCCACTTACCTCCTCCCAAGGAGGATAATCACTAGTTAGCCATTTGATATCCGATAAGTACGTGTTTGAGCCCTCAGTAGGTGGATGGCAGGTATCAGGAACTCCCCACAAGCAGTCGTGGATTAAGTGAACAAATTATTATTTTTTTAAGGGGATTATTTTACCCCCGGAAAAGCGATCCACCAATCAATTAACAACTGGGTTCCTACTTACTGTTAGGTAAACAGGTGTGTGGAGTAAGGAAACTTGCCCAACGCTTCGCCCTGCCAGGAATTGAACTCAGGTCCTCTCACTTGCGAGGTGAATGCTCTAAACACTGAGCTACAGGATTCCACATTAAGATCCTCACCGTCACCTACAAATCTCTTCACATCCTCTCTGATCTCGGACATCACCCCTCTGTCCCTACACTCAGCTTGCACATGTCTGCTGCGCGACCCAACCACTCCTCACTACAATCTGTGGCCGTGCCTTCAACACTAGACTCTGGAACTCCCTGCCTCAATCTGTCGGCTTGCAAGACACCTTTTGTCTTTTGTCTCAAGATCCTCCTGTTTGGCCACCCTCTTACCCCCACCCTCCCTGCCCTCTACCCTCCCTGATCCTAACCCCCCAACTGAGGTCCAAATCCCTGAATATGCAGGGCCTTGGGGCGTCTTCCTGGGGTGTAAATATAACTTTGTATTGTATCATATCTACCTTTAAATCCCATCTGACTACCTCGTCATCCACACTAAACCTGTCCCTGTCAAGCACTCTGAGATGTTATCCTACATCTAGGTTGCTTTATAAATGCCAGTTGTTGTAGCTCCTCCACTGTAGCTGTCTCCTTGGGGAGAGGTAACAGGTGGGGTGAATCAAGCTGGACAAATGACATAAAGCTTGCCAAACAGTGCTATCAATGGCAAGCTATGTGGTTTTAGCTGGTTAGATTCCAGCAGTTACCCTCTGGGGTCTCCAAGTCTTGGCTCTTGTCAACCTGCGCCTAATAGTCTCCAGAATTAGTTAAACAGGATGCGTAGCTCCAGGGGGAGAGAGTGAACATTATAATAACCATAATAATAAGCCTTGCGCTTGAGACGCCTCAAAGCACTTCACAGAATATACTGCAAAATTAATTCAATGTATATATTATATGGAGGAAACGTAAACGCAAAGCAGTGTCTCACAAACAGTGCTGGATTGTCCGACCAAACAAAAGCTCCAAATCCTAATCCTGTCCTCTTTCCTGAATGTGTCTGATCTGATCTGTGGAGGTCTGTACCCTCAGAAATGCGACCCGTCAATCGACTAACAACCGGGTTCCTAATTACAACTAGGTGAACAGAGCTGTGTGGCATAAGGAAACTTGCCTAACATTTCGCCCTGCTCAGGTATCGAACTCGGGTCCTCTCGTTTGCAAGCGAGGATTCTAACCCGGTTCAAATCCAACTTAACTGTCCATTGGCAGATCTGGCTGAACCTTATTAAATCTTACAGCTCCACCATCGCCTCCGCTAAATCATTATTCTACTCCAAGACAATCTTGGAGGCCAAGGACAACCCAGGCTACTCTTCTCCATCGCCATCTGGCTCCTCCGCCCACCGTCCGACACCTCACCTCCAATGCCAACTGCGAGGAGATGCTGGACTTGCTCAAAACCAAAGTTGAGGGGATCTGCTTAGCTGCCTCTGCCCTTCCGTCTGCTACCCGCTCCCCATCTCCCCCTCACAACCTGGCCCCTATCCATCCCTCCCTCCGCATCTTCGAACCTGTCTCCCACTCCTCTCTCATCACCATTATAACTCGCATGAAACCGACCACCTGCTCCCTCAACCCCATCCCTACCCCTCTCCTTACTTCCCAGCTCCACCTCCTTGCCTCTCTACTCACAGACATCATAAACCTCTCCCTATCCACTGGCACCATTCCACCCATCTAAAAACGTCCGTCATCATTTCTATTCTAAACTACCACCCCATCTCCAACCTCTCTTTCCAAGGTCCTGGAACGAGTCATTGCCTCCCAGCTTTGCTCCTTCCTCTCAGATCGTACCTCACATCGTCTCCACTTCATCTCCACAAATGGCTTCTCCTCTAGCACACGTACCATCTCATGCGGTGTTCCTCAGGGCTCTGTCCTTCGTCCCCTCCTCTTCAATATCCATATGCTCCATCTTGTGACATCATCCGCAGACATGGGGTCAATATCCACATGTATGCAGATGACACCCAACTCTATCTCTCTGCCGCCACCTTTGACTCCAGGACCACTGCTGTCCTGACAGAATGTCTATCAGACTTCAAGTGCTGGATAGAGCTAACTTTCTTCAGTTGAACGTCACCAAGACTGAAGCCCTAATGACTGGCTCCTATCAGAGCCTACAACAACAACAACTTGGATTTATATAACACCCTCCATGCCAGATGGCATCTCAAAGCGCTTCACAATAACGGATCCCAGGGCAGAGCCAGGGGGAGGGGGAATAGGGTGACCAAAAGCGCGGTCGAAAAGAAAGGTCTTTAGCCGAGACCTGAAAGTAGGAAAAGAGGGGACGAGGCGAAGGGAGAGAGGAAGGGAGTTCCAGAGCCTCGGGGTGTAGTGGCTAAAGGCACGGCCGCCGACGTTGCGACGGTGGAGCGGAGGATTCGGGGGACAAGGAGGAGGCCAGACCCGGTGGAGCGAAGGCAACGGTTGTGAGGAGAGAGGAGGTCAGAGAGGTGCAGAGGAGTAGAGGGATTTGAAGAGTGAGGATCTTGAAATCGATCCACTCTGGGACAGGCAGCCAGTGCAGTCTGGCAAGGACTGGGGTAATCAGGGAGCGGAGTTTAGTTCCGGTAAGAATGCGGGCGGCAGAATTCTGGATAACCTGGATTTTATGGATGGTAGTGGAGGGGAGACCGGCGAGGAGGGCATTTGAATAGTCCAGCCGAGAGATGACAAAGGCATGGACCAGGGTTTCGACGTTATTTGGGGTGAGATATTGGCAGAGACGGGCGATGCGTCGGAGGTGGAAGAAAACGGTGCTGGTGAGAGACCGGATGTGGGGGAGAAAGGATAATTGGGGGTCGAACCTGACGCCTAGGTTGTGTACAGGTTCGGAGAGTTTTAGGGGCAGGTCGGGTAGGTGGAGGAGATGAGAACTGTGCGATTGAAGACGTTGATGACAGCCAAAAAGTACGACTTTGTCTTATCAATATTTAGCTGAAGAAACCTCAGGCACTGACAGTATCACCATCCAAGGATGCACACTTCATCTTATTGAGTCAGTCCGGAACCTTGGCATCTTGTTTGAGGCTCAACTATCCTTTCTACCCCACAACTGTGCCATGTCCTGCTCTGCCTTCCCCTACCTCCACAACATCACCCGGCTCCGCCAGACTCACACTGTAGGCCACCGAAACCCTCATACTCGCATTCATAACATCGAGGCTCCACTCCATAGGCTGCAGATCATCAAGAACTCTGCAGACCGTGTCCTTTCCTGCACCAGGCTCCATGACCCCATCACTCCCATCCTCGCCCGACTCCACTGGCTTCCCATCACACAAAGGATTCAGTTCAAGATCTTGGTCGTCACCTTCAAAGGCCTCCATGGCTACCTCTGTGACCTCCTTATCCCTTACCAACCTGCCTGCTTCACTCCCCTGCCTCGCCCGTCCCACCAATGGTGGACGGGCCTTCAGCCACTCTCATCCCACCCTCTGGAACTCCATCCTGCAGTCCCTCCGCCTCACCCCGTCCCTTGTCTCCTTCAAGAGCCATTCAACACTCTCCTCTTCGACCGTGCCTTCGATCACCATCCTGCCAACCGTGCCCTCCACCCTCTCTGATCCCAACCCCCATCTTGGATCTGAAACACCCAAGTCCAGCTCCCTGGGAGACCTGTAGCCAAAGCTATTGCTGCAGGATATTGCAATGCACATATTGGGTACCACATTCACCTACAAAATACACAGTAACTCCACTTTATAGCCTGTGAATGACTTTGCAAAGTCCTCCCGACATGAAAGGCACTATGTCAACTGTAAGGATTATATTACCCTTCTCCTCCTCTGCGTGAACATCTTGCTGCATGCATGTTAAAAACACAAAAATATAATCCTTGCATATAGTGCCTTATCATGTCTTTGAGACAACAACAGCAACAACAAAATTATATTTGTGTAGCACCTTTCACGAGACATCTCAAAGCGCTTCACAGAATATATTGAAAGTCAATTCAATGTATATTTTGAAACATGGGAGCCAATTGCGCATAGCAATGCCTCACAAACAGTCATGGATTGTGTGACCAAACACAAGAAAGGTTATAATAATAATCCTTGCATTTGATATAGCGCTTTTCACGTCTTCTAGACGTCTCAAAGCGCTTCACAGAATACACTGTAAAGTGAATTGGCAGTATCTTTGTATATATACGTTTTAAAACAAATGCAGCAGAATACAATTGGTGTGTGCACACATCTTACCTGAGTCCTACACATGTACTTGCAGCAACCCGGGATCCAAGAATTCCTCTTACTGTTCCTTCGTAGTAACAATTACTCTACAGAAAGAGTGTTCAAAACATTTTAATAATCTGCATACTTGGAGCAGTGATGGCTGCTAAGACCAGATCTGGACATCTACCTTACAGTAGGAACAAATATATTTCCACTATTTCCTTATCTGCTGTGAACTTAATGCTCCTATCCTGACTTTAACCATCCTTTTATTGCTAACATGCCGATAGAACATCTTGCTTTCTCTTTTTATATTTTTATTATGCTCTCCTCGTGGTCCTATTTGCCTTGCTAATCGTCTTTTTAACTTCTTTCCCAAATTTGCTGTATTCACTCCTGCTTTCCTCTCCGTCGATTTCAAGTTCCTCTCACTCGTTTTCAAACCCCTTCATGCTCTTGCACCTCCCTATCTATACAATCTGCTTACTCCCAGCCCACCTGCTACCTCCCTCAGCTGGCTCCGGCATCCTGTTTGTCCTCGTGCCCTCCATTCCGCCACTCTGGAATTCTCTCCCTCAATCACTCAGCTTTGTCCCCTCCTTCCCCACCTTCAAATCCCATCTAAAGACCTTCCTTTTATATTGTGCATACGGTTAACTCCCCCCTCCCTTTCCTCCTGGCTCAGTATTAGACTCCGCCACTTTCGAGCACTCCAGGACACTACCCCGTGTGAAGGCACAATTTAAATGGAAGTTGTTGCTGTTATCTATACTGTACTTTTCAAGTGCCTTTTCGCTTAACTGCAGTTTTGTCGTCACTGCCCATCCCATTGCTGGTTAATATATCCCTCCAGGTCTTACCTGTACCACTGCAACCTCCTCAAACCCTACCAACATGGCCCCTTCCTCCGCCCAGCGGGCACTGGCCTGCTTCACATTCCTCGGTCCACTCGCCCTAATGTCAGCAGTCGAACTTTGAGGTATCCTTACCCCCCAGCTCCAACTCTTGCCCCCCTACTCACAGACATCATAAACGTCTCCCTGTCCATTGGCACCAGTCCCACTGCTCTAAAAACGTGTCATCACTCCTTGCCTTAAAAAACTCTCCCTGGACCCATCCCTGCTCTCAAACTACTGCCCCATCTCCAACCTCCCTTTCCTATTCAACGTCTTGGAACAAGTTGTTGCTTCGCTCCTTCCTCTCCCACCATTCCCTTCACGAACCCTTCCAATCGGGTTTCCGTGATACCCACAGCACAGAAACAGTCTGGACAAAGTAACAAATGACATTCTGTCCATCTGCGACCAGGACTCCCTCTGCCTCCCGTCAGCTCCTTCACAGCTCAGGCACTGACAGCATCACCATCCAAGGATGCATTCTCCAACCTTATTGAGCCAGTCTGGACTACCTTGGCATCTCGTTTGACACTCAACTATCCTTTCTACCCCACATCTGTGCCATGTCCTGCTCTGCCTTCCCCCACCTCCGCAACACTGCCCGGCTCCACCAGTGTCTCACACTGCAGCCCGCCGAGACTCTCATACACACATTCATAATATCCAGGCTCGACTACACAAACTCCCCGCTTGTCGGCCTCCCCAACTCCTCCCTCCACAGGCTGCAGATCATCCACAACCCTGCATCCCGTGTCCTCTCCCGCTCCAGGTTCCGTGACCCTATTACCCCCATCCTCACCCGACTCCACTGGCTTCCCATCACACAAAGGATACAGGTCAAGATCCTGGTCCTCACCCATGGCCTTGTTTCCCCCTACCTCTGTGACCTCCTAACCCCTTACCAACCTGCCTGCCCTCTGGATCTCCATCCCAAAGTCCCCTCCCTTGCCTCCTTCAAGATCTGTCCTAAGACCCTCCTCTTCGACCGTGCCTTCGGTCACCCTCCTTCTCCCGCTGCCCTCCACCCTCCCAGATCCCGATGCCCAGCTCAGGTCCAAAACACTGACTGTCCAGCGCGTGGGACGTCCTCCCGACGTTTTGTTGTATCCATCCCCACTCTGGAAATCGATCCCAAGAGCCTTCAGCTCGACCCTACGCTTCCTTCAATGTCTTCCTCAAGATCTTCCTCTTTGACTGCCCTTGGCTGTCGAGCGCTTTGGGATGTCCTCCTGACATGAAAGCTTCTATGTAAATGTAAGTTTGTATTGTATAGTCTGCAGCTTGAGAAGGAACGCTGGCAGGCAGAGTAGTATATGACAAGCCTGGATGTTGTGAACGTGGGGATAAGGATCTCGGCAACCTGGGGGTAGAGGCCGTGGTGGGGACAGGCAATGTTTCATAGGTGAGGCAAAGCTGAGTGGGTAAAAGCATGGGGATATGAAGGGCAGCTCGGAGTCAAATAAGAAACCAAGGTTCCACACTGTGTCCATGATGAAGGGAGACGGTTGAGTAAAACGTGAAGTGCTTAATAATAATAACAACAATCCTTGCATTAGATTTAGCACGTTATCAAGTCGATGAAATGTCTCAAAGTGCTTCATAGAATATACTGGGTATTTTGTGGGTGAAACACAGCAGCCAATTAAACAAGCGGAAGGAAATAGATGTAAGGGAACAGATTAATTAGGCAAGATGTTGGGATAAGGTTCTGGAAGGATGACAATAAATGGGCCAAAGAGCCGTCTTAATCCAAACCATACCTGTGACCTTGCGTTACTGGAGCTAACCAAGAGTTACTTTACCTTTATGCTCGAAAAAAAGTCACGACACCAAGTAATTTATCAGTAAATATTACTTTACCTGTCCACCAGGCTGCTTCCACAGTGACTTGTAATTGAGGTGTCAATGGGCATGTGGCAACGCTTCATAATAATAATAATCCTTGCATTTGATAAAGCGCCTTATCATGTATTTCATACCATAAAACCATAGAATTATACAGCACAGAAGAAGGCCATTCGGCCCATCGTCTGTGCCGGCTCTTTGAAATGAGCTATCCAAATCAATCCCACTCCCCGCTCTCTCGCCATAGCCCTGCAAACTTGTTCTCCCCAAATAATTATCTATTTTTCTCTTCAAAATTTTATCTAATCGGCTTCCACCACCCTTTCAAGTAATGCATTCCAGATCCGAACAACTCGCTGAATGAAAAGATTTTTCCTCACCTCCCGTTTTTTTTAAAACAACAATTTTAAATCGGTGTCCTCGGGTTACTGACACACCTGCCAGTGGAAATAATTTCTCCTTGTTCACCCTATCGAATTCCTTCATAATTTTGAAAACTTCTATTAAGGAGAATAATCCTAGCTTCTCTCACCTCTCCTGATAACTGAAGTCCCTCATTCCTGGTACCTTACTGGCAAATCTTCTTTGCACCTTCTTCAATGCCTTGACATCCTTCCTAATTGTGGTGCCCAGAACTGAACACAGTCTCTAGCTGAGGCCTAACCAGTGTTTTATAAAGGTTCATCATAACTTCTTGACCTCTGTATTCTATGCCCTTATTTATAAAGCCTAGTATCCCAAATGCTTTTTTTTAAAAACAGCTTTATCTACCTATCCTGCCACCTTCAAAGATTTACTTATGTGAACCCCCAGGTCTCTCTGTTTCTTCACCCCTTTTAAGATTGTACCATCAAAACGCTTCACAGAATACACTGCAAAATGAATTGACTGTATATATTTTGTGGGCGAAATGCGGCAACCAATTGCGCAGAAACAGTCGTGGAATGAGTATCTAAATTCTTCTTCTTTTAAAATGTATTTATTTATTACATCCCCCCCAGGAAAGCAATCTGCCAATCAACTATTTGTTGCTAGGTAAACAGAGGCACGTGGAGTAAGGAAACTTGCCTAAGGTTTTAGCCTGCCCAGGAATCAAACCCATATATTTGCACTCTCCACCTCCGAGCCAGTACGGAACCTTGGTGTTCTGCTCCACTCACAACTATCCTTTAAACCCTGCCATAATCTGTTCTGCCTTCCCCTGGTCTGCAACAATGCCCAGCTCCGCCACTGTCTCTCATCTCAGGATGCCGAGACCCTCATTCTAACTCCCTGCTCGACGGATATCCCAACTCTTCTTTCCACAGGCTGAAGATTACTTGAAACTCTGCACCTCCAATCCTCCCCCATACCAAACTCCGTGAACTGATTATCAGCATCCTCCGCTGGCTCCCCAACCCTCAGAGGAGAGTTTAAAATCCTAATCCTCACTTTGAAAGCCCTCCACTGCCTTGTTCCTTCCTATCTCTGCGACCTATTACCACTATAACAACCTTGGTCTGCTCTCCGCTCGGCGGGCACTGGCCTGCTTCATGTCCCTTGACCTGCCCGCTCTACCATTGATGGTTGGGCCTTCAGCCTCTCTACCCCCACCCTCTGGAACTCCTTCCCACAATCACACCGCCTCGCCCCCTCTCTTGCCTCCTTCAAGACCCTCCTCTTTGATCAAGTTTTTGGCCACCTTCCAAACCCCTGCCCAGGTGCAACACCTTCACTGACCATCGCCTTGGGACGTCCTTCTGACCTGAAAGGCGCTGTGTAAATGTCACTTTGTTGTTAATTTCCAGCATCCTGGCCTGAACTGCCTTTCCTGATGATTAAAGAGCAATCGAGGCTGGAATAAAATAGTTGGTGCTTCTAGAATTGTTTTAAACTAGCACTCTCAAATCTCTCCCGAGTGTGAGCAGAGAACACAAACCACAAAAGGCTGCGTAAATCAGCATTCTGTCTCTCACCAGGTCACTGCTCTGTTCTGTCAGTAAAGTTCCATTTGAATCATAATACGACACTTGAAAGCCTTTTGATATGAGGATTCTGTAAAGTTACAGAAAAGAACAAGAATCAAATACTACCAAGGAAAGCACATTTGAATAAATCAACTCAACAATAATAATAATCTTTCCATTTGATATACTGCCTTATCACGTCCATGGGACGTCTCAAAGCGCTTCACAGAATATACTGTAAAGTGAATTTACTATGTATTGTGTAAACGAAACAACAGCAGCCAATTGCAGCATTCCACAAACAGTCATGGATTGAGTGACCAAATTTTTTTTTTTAGGGATTATTATCCATGAAAAAGCAATGCACCAATCGACTAATAAGCAGGTTCCTACTTACTGCTAGAAACACTGCGCAATGGCTGCTGCGTTTCGCCCCAAGATATAAAGTCAATTTTCTTTATACTATATTCTGTGAAGCGCTTTGAGACGTTTCAAAGATATAAGGCGCTATATCAAATGCAAGGATTATTATTATTAGTAATAGTAGTAGAGGCATGTACAGAAGACAATGGCTATTAAGCTTTACTCACTCGTTTCTTCTGAGCTCCAGGATTAGCTGCTTTTCTTCTGTTTCCACAGAAACCAGAAGCTCACCAGCACTGCCATTCTACTCAACAAAGAGGAACTTTTATTAACTGAACTGAAAAGAACAAGTTAAGCTTGGAAAGCAAGTGCAGTCAGAATACAACAACAACAAATTACATTTACACAGCATCGTTCATGGCGGGAAGACATCCCAAGGTGCTGGACAGTCAGCGATTTGGACCCAAGCTGGAGGTTGGGATCGGGGGGCTTTGGAGGGCAGGGATAGGAGGGGGGGCCGAAGGCGTGGTCCAAGTGGAGCTTCTTGAGACAGACCTTGAAGGAAGCAATGTAGGGAGCAAGGCAAAGGGACAATGGGATGGAGTTCGAACGGGTGGGGGCAGAGAAGCTGAAGGCTCGACCGCCAATGGTGGAGTGGGCCGGGCAGGAGACCTGGAGCAGGCTGGATCCTGCTGAGCGGAGAGAACAGCCAGGTTGATATGGTTTTAGCAGGTCACAGAGGTAGGAAGGAGCAAGGCCATGGAGGGCTTTGAAGGCCAGGACGATGATACAACAACAACTTGTTCTTACATAGCGCCTTTCACGCAGGGTAGTGTCTCAGAGCACTTAACAGTGGCGGAGCCTGCCAAAAATATATAACGGGTACGAAGGAAAGACAAGAACAACTTGCATTTAAATAGCACCCATCATGTGGAGTAGTGTTTTGGCGTGGTTCCCCAGACAGGGAAAGGGGATTCAAAGCTTTGTTCTATCCTAAATACGACCGAGATAAAATTTGTCATTCACTTCATAAGTGTTGTGGCACATTGCTGTCTGCACACTGGCTGCTGCGTTCGCCAAAAAATTCACGATCACTATATTTTTCTGTAAAATCTTTTGAGATGTCTTAACGTGATAAGGCAATGTATAAAAATAGAACAATAATTATTAATTGAATAATCAAGACTCTCTGCTGACTGACATGGAACATTTAGATTCTTGCCCTTACATTTGCTCACCTGTTCAAGGTCACTTCTTCACCCTCCCCCTGGCTATTTTGAGCATTTTAGGATCACCTCACTCTGGCTAGATTACAGTATACCAATGAGTTTGGGATTAGTTCAGATTTGAACTATCTTAAATAGTCAGATTAGCTAGGTTCACAGCAAGGGGGTGTGGAATAGTTGTGCACTGCCTTGGAAACTTCCTTCAGATCTTTTTAGGATTTTAACAGCATCATTAACTGCAATCTCATTCTACGGTGCACTTGTTACCTGCTGTAACAGGTGCATGCTCCACTTTTGTTTCCTGGTTATGATGGATGGGAATATGACTCCATGATACCGATGCAGTTCTCTGAGCCACTGGAAACCATCTCCTGTTTGTGTGGGAAGGAGGAAAAGGTCAATCTGAACCCACTGATTATTTTAATAATAAATAATAATAATAATCCTCGCATTTGATCCAGTGCTTTTCACGCCTTCTCGACGTCTCAAAGCGCTTCACAGAATATACTGCAAAGTGTATATTTGTGGGCAAAATGCGGCAGCCAATCGCGCACAGCGGCGTCCCACAAACAGCCGCGGACTGAGTGACCAAATAAGGGATTATTACTCCTTATTATTACTATGAACTGACTAACCACCAGGTTCCTACTTACTGTTAATGAACCAGAGATGAGAGGTGTAAGGAAACCTGCCTAACGTTTCGCACTGCGGGGGGGGGGGGGAGAGTGAGGGGACTCCAGGATGGCGGTCTGTTGAATCATAGAGAATAAGGCAGTTCAGCCCCTCGGTCCTGTCCTGTAAAGACATCGCCCTGAAGACAGATGTCTATCAAATATCTGACTGAAGAGTCTGGGCCTGTGAACACACCTCATACAGAGACCCTTCTCCCCCACACAGTGTGGGCTGTGGGGGGGGGGGCACAGGGGCTGGTGTTGGTGGCGGTGGTCCAGGTGAGGTCCGGCCCATGGGGTTGAAGCGCCCGTCACGTGTCACGGCGTCGGCTGTGCGCGGCTGATTACCCGCTGAGAGCCGGTGGCGGGTGGAATGGCCGCTGTCTGTCTCCAAAACCGGATGGACGACGGCGGTGGGGGAAGGCCAAAGGGCGCCGCCCAAACCCGCCCCCGGAGCCCTGACCCCCGGCCACACAACGGCGACAAAAACTAACACGCCATAAGCCAACATGGCGGCGCCTCAGCCTCAGCCCCAACTGTCATCGCGCCTCGTGCCAGAGCCTCCCCCACCCACACAGACCTACCGCGCGTGCGCAGTCCCTCCCCCACATCGCGCGCGCGCGCAGTTCCCCCCACACGCACACACGCCGCGCGTGCGCAGTTCCCTCCCCACCCACACAGCGCGTGCGCAGTTCCCTCCCTCCCCCTCACCCACACACAGTCCGGCGGCCTGAGCCGCTGTCCTCCCTCTCGCCGATCCCCTCCCACTCCCTGAGCCCCTCTCCCTCTCCCTCTCCCACAGCAACAACACAATTACACGTGTAAAGCGTCTTTCACGTTGTGAGGACGTCCCACGGCGCTGGACAGACAGAGCTTCGGACCCGAGCTGAGGGTCGGGGTGTGAGGGAGGGAAGGCACAGTCAGGTGGGTCTTTTGTTGGGGCTCGAAGGAGACACATCTAATAATAATCCCTCCAAAACCCAAAACAATAATAAATTGGTCATTTTCAATCTACGACTGTTTGTGGGACATTGCTGTGCGCAATTGGCTGCCGCGTTCACCCACAAATATACAGTCAATTCACTTTACAGTGTGTTCTGTGAAGCGCTTTGGGACATCCTCTCGACGTGAAAAGCGCTTTATCAAATGCAAGGATTATTATTATTATTAAGGGGTGGGGACGAGGCGGAGGCACTGCAGGATGGAGTTCCAGAGGGTGGGGGCAGAGTGGCTGACGGCCCGCCCGCCAGTGGTGGGGGTCGAGGCGGGGCCAGAGCCCACTGAGCGGAGAGGTTGGTTGGGGGTTAGGAGGTCGGAGAGGTAGGGGGGAGCAAGATCATGGAGGGCTTTGAAGGTGAGGACCAGGATCTTGAACTGTATCCTCTGTGTGATGGGAAGCCGGTGGAGTCGGGTGAGGATGGGGGGTCATAGGGTCCCGGAGTCTGGTGCGGGAGAGGACACGGGCTGCAGAGCTCTGGATGATCTGTAGGGCTGTGGAGGGAGGAGTTGGGAAGCCGACAAGCAGTGAGTTTGCATAGTCGAGCCTCGATGTTATGAATATATGAGGGTCTCGGCAGCCTACGGTGTGAGACAGAGGTGGAGCCAGGCGATGTTGCGGAGATGGGGGAAGGCAGAATAGCTCTAATCCTAACCCTAACCCTAATTGGCACGGATGTGGGGAATAAAGGACAGTTGAGGGTCAAACAAGACCCCAAGGTTCCGGACTGGTTTAGCAGGGTGGAGTGTGCAACCATTGATGGTGATGTGGTCGGTGCCTGAGGTGAGGAGGCGCTGACGGGAGCCAATCAGCAGGGCTTCGGTCTTACTGATGTTCAACTGAAGAATGTTAGCTCTCATCTAGGACTTGAGTTCTGACAGACATTCTGTCAGGATAGCAGTGGTCCTGGAGTCAAGGGTGGTGGCAGAGAGGTACAGTTGGGTGTCATTCACATACATGTGGAAGTTGACCCTATGTCTGCGAATGATGTCACCATGATGGAGCATAGAGATATTGAAGAGGAGGGGACCAAGGACAGAGCCCTGAAGAAAGCCGCACAAGACGGTGCATGGACTAGAGGAGAAGCCATTTGTGGAGATGAAGTGGAAGCGATGTGAGAGGTACGATCTGAACCAGTCAAGAGCCGTGAAGTTTGAAGTGAGAGGAGAGGCAGTGGATGAGGATAGAGTGGTCGACGGTGTCGAAAGCAGCAGAGAGGTCAACATGGATAAAATATCATTTGTCACTTTGATCAAAGCTATTTCTGTGCTGTGGGAGCCATGGAAACCCAATTGACGGGGTTTGTGAAGGGAGTGGCGGGAGAGGAAGCAACGACTTGTTCCAAGACCTTGGTAACAAAACAATTCTGATTACCCACGTCTCCTCTCATTTGCCCATTCTCCCCTCCCCCACCACCTCGGGAACCCCCACCTTCCTTCCCCCACGCTACCCCTTGATTAGCCCCCTCTCCCCTCATTTGCCCTGGACTGCCCTAATCTCTCACGTTGTCTGAGATGATGAGGATGTGAAGTTTGGTGCTGGCAGACCAGTGAGGAGTGCATTGGGGCAGGAAGTAATGAAAGCATGGAAGAGTGTTTCGGCTGCATCAAAGGTAAGGTATGATGGGGGCTGGCAATGTGATGAAGGTGGAGATAAGTGGTCCTGGTCAGGGTCCAGATGTGGGGAAGTAGGACAGCAGTGGGTCGAACCTGATGCCTAGGTTACACACAAATTCAGTAAGTGTGAGGGAAGCTACTAGGAGATTCATAGAATCATAGAATTATACTGCACAGAAGGAGGCCATTCGGCCACTCGTGTCTTTGAAAAGAGCTTCCAAATCAATCCCACTCCCCCGCGCTCTCCCCATAGACCTGCAAACTTGTCCTCCCCAAATAATTATCTACTTCTCTCTTAAAAGTGTTATCCCAATCGGCTTCCACCACCCTTTCCAGCAAAGCATTCCAGATCCGAACACATCACTGTGTGAAAAAATTTCGCCTCACTTCCGTTTCTTTTAACAACTATTTTAAATCCATGTCCTCGGGTTACCGATGCAGCCACCAATGGAAATAGTTTCTCCTTGCTCACCCCATCAAATCCCCTCATAATTTTGAAAACTTCTATTAAGTCTCCTCTTAACCTCCTCTGCTCCAAGGAGAATAATCCCAGCTTCTCCAGCCTCTCCTGATAACTGAAATCCCTCATTCCTGGTACCATCCTGGTCAATCTCCTTTACACCCTCTCCAATGTCTTGACATCCTTCCTAAAGTGTGGGGCCCAGAACTGAACACAGTCTCGAGCTGAGGCCTAACCAGTGTTTTATAAAGGTTCAACCATATCCCGTATGCTCCTTTAACAGCTTTATCTACCTGTCCTGCCACCTTCAAAGATTTACTTATATGAATCCCAGGTCTCACTGTTCCTTCCCCTTTAAGATTGTACCATCAGCTTATATTGCCTCTCCTCATTCTTCCTCCCCAAATACATCACTTTGCATTTCTCCACATTAAACTTCATCTGCAATATATCTGCCCATTTTACCAGTCTGTCTATGTCCTCTTACAGTCTGTTACTATCCTCCTCACTGTTTACTACTTTTCCTAACATAGTATCATCTGCAAACTTGGAAATTGTACTTCCTATACCCAAGTGGAGTTCATTTATATAGATCAAAAACAGCTGACCCTGGGGGACACCACTGCACACTTCCCTCCGGTCAGCTTGTGAAGGGAAGAGTTGGGAAGGTCATGTTGGTTAGTGACGTGTTTGTTCTTGTTGCCACTTTGTGGCAGTGTCCAGGCTGAAGTTGGTATCCACCACGACCATAAGGTACCGATAAGAATCAACAATTAGGATTGATGCCCCTTTTAACCATAAAAAAAATTCACTGTGGGCACTAATAATTGTCAGGGTTACATATAACCTTTATTTCAGCCTCCAAACTCCAAGCAAGTGATGGGATTGTGGTGAGTTGAAGCTCATCTTAAAATATATAATCCTTGCATTTGATATAGCGCCTTATCATCTCTTCGAGACGTCTCAAAGTGCTTCACAGAATATACTGTAAAGTGAACTGACTGTATATTTTGTGGGCAAATGCGGCAGCCAACTGCGCATAGCAGTGTCACACAGTTGTGGATTGAGTGACCAAATTATTATTTTTCTTTTTAATTTTTTTGAAGGGATTATTACCCCAGGAAAAGTGATCTGCCAATCAACTAACAACTGGATTCCTACTTTGCTAGGTGAATAGAGGTATGTGGAGTTAGGAAACTTGCCTAAGGTTTTGCCGTCTTTCCCCACATTCAGGGCATGTTGTGTTCAGATCAGAAACAGGGGTCAATCTGACTAAACCAGCTCACAGAATCCTTGAGCCATGTTGGGGAGGGGGAGGCAGTGGACAATTATCCAATGTGGGACTCTAACTGATTTTCCATCCTGCCCAAAACCAAGGCAAACTAAGGCTCCTACCTGGCTGAGGTTAATAACCAACACACCAGGGTTCCACTAACTTTGTGTGGCTTTGTGCTGCACCTGGTACATCCCACTCTGTGTGACTGAGTATTGGGTATGGATGCAGTCTGACTGGTGGATGGAGTTACGCAGAGTGAGAGGGACTTGGAGAAACATCAGTACAGATACAAGCAGACACCGTGAGCTGGCCGAGAGGGAACTGGACATTCATCAGTAGAGGTGAAGTCAGACCCAACAGTGCGCTGTCTGGGAGGAGATACTGAGCCTGACAGTATGAGAAACTGAAGAGAACGATGCTGCAAGTGAGAGGTTTCATCTTTAGCAAGAGTTCTGTTGAAGAGTCCTTGGTTTTGCTCAGCCTTGAATTGCAGGATGGTCAGCCCCACGCCTGTGACTTGCAGTAATGTAACACCAGCTTTCCATCGCTTCCGAAACACTGGGAGAGAGAACGAGGTTAGAGCTTCCAACATCAGACTCATAGAATTTTACAGTACAGAAAGAGGCCATTTGCCCACTGTGCCTGGGCCGGCTCTTTGGAAGAGCTATCCAACTAGTCCCAGACTCCCCCTTTTACTCCAAAGCTCTGCAAATTTTTCATTTTCAAATTCCCTTTTGAAAGCTATTATCGATTCTGCTTGCACCACCCTTTCAGGTAGTGCATTCCAGACCGTAACAACTCTCTGGATAAAAGTATATCTCCTCATCTCCCCTCTGGTTCTTTTGTCATATTATCTTCAATCTATGTGCCCTGGTTACTGACCCACTGGCCGGAGGAAACAGTTCCTCTCGATCTACTCTATCAAAACCCCCATGATTGTGAACACCTTTATTAAATTTCCTCTTAACCTTCTCTGCTTTAAGGAGAATAATCCAATCTTCTCTAGTCTCTCCATACAAGTGTAGTCCCTCATCTCTGGTATCATTCTTGAAAATCTTCTCTGCACCCTCTCCAAGGTCCTTTCTGAAGTGTGGTGCCCAGATTTGGACACAATACTCCAGCTGAGGCCTAACATCACACAGACAAATCCGAAACCCAAGCACATTATATTACAATAAGAAGAAGTCCTGCATTTTATTTCAACATGAAAATGTTTCAAAGAGCATTGGGGAGAGTTACTGTTGTGTAGTAATTGCATCACTAGGCAAACGTTACAGCAATTTTGCACACAACAATGTCCCCTTCAAAGAGGCATGCATTGAATAACCAAGTTATCTGGGGGATTGCTTCCCACACACTGGGAAAAATTCTCATCTCTTTCCCACAATGTCGCAGGAATGCCAACATGAGCAGGTGCAGATCTGCTCACCTGAAAGACAGCAACTCCGTAATAATAATTCCTGCATTTGATATAGTGCCTTATCACGTCTTCAAGGCATCTCAAATGCTTCACACAATATACTATAAAGTGAATTGACTGTATTTTTTGGATGAAACACAGTGGCCAATTGCTCACAGCATTGTCCCGCAAACATTCAGGGATTGAGTGACCATGCAACAACAACAAAATTACATTTGTATATGATGAACACTGGTTAGGCCTCAGCTAGAGACTGTGTTCAGTTCTGGGCGCCACACTTTAGGAAGGATGTCAAGGCATTGGAGAGGGTGCAAAGGAGGGTACCAGGAATGAGGGACTTCAGTTGTTAGGAGAGGCGAGAGAAGCTAGGATATTCTCCTTGGAGCAGAGAAGGTAAAAAGGAGATTTAATAGAAATTTTCAAAATTATGAAGGGATTTGATAGGATGAACAAGGAGAAACTATTTCCACTGGCGGGTGGGTCGGTAACGTGAGGACATTGATTTAAAATAGTTGTTAAAAGAAACAGAGGGGAGGTGAGGAGAAATGTTTTCACGCAGCGAGTTGATCTGGAATGCATTGCCTAAAAGGGTGATGGAAGTCGATTCTATAATAACTTTAGAGTGATATAATAATAATAATAAGTTCTATAAGTTCTATAATAATAAGAGATAATTATTTGGGGAGGACAAGTTTGCAGGGCTATGGAGAGAGAGTGGGGAGTGGAATTGATTTGGAAGCTCTTTTCAAAGAGCCGCCACAGACACGATGGACCGAACGGCCTCCTTCTGTGCTGTATAATTCTATGAATATTAGTTGTTTCATTTTATTGTATTTTTGAAGAGATTATTACCCCGGAAAAGCGATCCGCCAATCGACTAAGAACCAGGATCCTATTTACTGGTAAGTAAACAGGCGTATGGAGTAAGGAAAATTGCCCAACATTTCGCCCTGCTGGGAATCGAATACGAGTCCTCTCGCTTGTGAGGCGAGTGCTCTAACCACCACACTACAGAAAGCCACAATTCAGTGTTCCTCCAGTACAGAACAATCACAATGAACAGTAGTTATTCCCAATGACTCACTCACCTGGTACAGGGTTCCCACATCCTGTTCCGGAGAGGGAGCAAACGATTGATTGACGTAGATGAACTGAAGACAGAAAATAGTTGGGCTTTAGTCACGATAATCTGTATAATTCACCGCCACCCACACACACACTCACCCCCACCCACCCACACCCTCACCAATCCATCCACACACTCGCCCCACCCACACTCACTCCCACATACACCCACCCACCCACACACCCTACCCACACACTCTCCCAGGCACACTCACCCACCCACCTCCACACTCTTCCCCCACCCATGCCTACTCACCCACGCCCCCACCCACCCCCACACACACTGTTGCTGCCACCTTACCAGCTGCTCTGCAGGTTCTGCTTTGAGAAATTTCTTGATGAACAGACTGAGCGCCTGGATTGTTCGTGATCGCTCCACCGTCCATTTCTTTTGCTTCATAATTGGTGTGTCACCCACAGCCTTCAATAACACGTCAACTGTGTTTGGGGAGGAGAGAGACAACATGTGAGAGACATACATGTGCGCACATACACACATACAGTGAGACACAAGCATGCAACAACAAATTACATAATCGAGAGGAAGTCCCACCCACACTGAGACACAGTTTTACACATAAACAAACTGTCACACTGACATACACAACAAGATACAGTCTCACACACACAGTAACACGCAAAGGGACACATACCAATGAGACACAGTCATACATACTGATCACAGACACAGTAACACATACATTGATACTGGACTCCTGTAGCTTAGGGGTTAGAGCACTCGCCTCCCAAGTGGAAGGACCTGGGTTTGACTCTCGGGCAGGGCAAAACTTTAGGCAAGTTTCTGTACTCCATCCGCCTCTGTTTACCTAGCAGTAAGTAGGAACCTGGTTGTTAGTCGATTGATGGATCGCTTTTCCCAGGGTTATAGCCCCTTCAAAAAATAAAGAATAATTTGGTCACTTCAATCCACGACTGTTTGTGGGACACTGCTGTGCAATTGGCTGCCATGTTTAACCCACAAAATATTGTCAATTCACTTTACAGTATATTCTGTGAAGTGCTTTGACGTCTTGGAAGATGTGATAAGGCACTGTATCAAATGCAAGAATTATTATCGTTTCTTAGACACATGGCCTCACAGTGATACTGACACACAGACACACAAGTGATACTGACACACAGACAGACAGTGATACTGACACACAGACAGACAGTGATACTGACACACAGACATACAGTGATACTGAGACAGACACACACTTATACTGACACACAGACACACAGTGATACTGAGACACAGACACACAAACTTATCATAGAATCATAGAATTTTACAGCACAAAAGGAGACCATTCGGCCCATCGTGTCTGAAAAGAGACGGCTTTGAAAAGAGCTATCCAATTCAATCCCAATCCCCCACTCCCTCCCCATAGCCCTGCAAACTTGTCCTTCCCAAATAATTATCTACTTCTCTCTTAGAAGTTATCAAATCGACTTCCACCAGCCTTTCAAGCAATGCATTCCAGATCCAAACAACTCTGTGTGAAAACATTTCTCCTCACCTCCCTTGTTTGTTTTAACAACTATTTTAAATCGGTGTCCTCGGGTTGCCAACCCACCCGCCAGTGGAAATAGTTTCTCCTTGTTCATCCTTTCGAATCCCCTCATAATTTTGAAAATTTCAATTAAATCTCCTCTTACCCTCCTCTGCTCCAAGGAGAATAATCCCGGCTTCTCTATCCTCTCCTGATAACTGAAATCCCTCATTCCTGGTACCATCCTGGTCAATCTCCTTTGCACCCTCTCCAATGTCTTGACATCCTTCCTAAAGTGTGGGGCCCAGAACTGAACACAGTATCGAGCTGAGGCCTAACCAGTGTTTTATAAAGGTTCATCATACCCCGTATGCTTTTTTAACAGCTTTATCTACCTGTCCTGCCACCTTCAAAGATTTACTTATATGAACCCTCAGGTCTCTCTGTTCCTTCACCCCCTTTAAGATTGTACCATCAGCTTATATTGCCTCTCCTTATTCTTCCTCCCAAAATACATCACTTTGCATTTCTCCACATTAAACTTCATCTGCAATGTATCTGCCCATTTTACCAGTCTGTCTATGTCCTCTTACAGTCTGCTACCATCTCACCATTTACTACTCCTAGCTTAGTATCATCTGCAAACTCGGAAATTGTCTTCCCAAAACTCACGTCCAGGTGATTTATATAGATCAAAAACAGCAGTGCCGACCCCTGGGTAACACCACTGCACACTTCCCTCTGTCAGAAAAACAACCGTTCACTACCACCCTGTTTCTGTCTCCCAGCCAGTTCTGTATCCATGCAGTCACTGTTCCTTTCATACCGTGGGTTTCTAGTTTGTTTACAAATCTCTTATGAGGCACTTTATCAGATGCCTTTTGAAAATCATATAAACTACATCAACTGAACCACCTTCATCCATCCTCTCCGTTACTTCATCAAAAAACTCTTATCAGGTTTGTTAAACATGATTTGCGTTTAACAAATCTGTGTCAGCTGTACTTTATTATTTATCCTTCTGCCCCTTTTTGTACAAAAGAGTAACATTTGCAACCTTCCAGTTCCCTTGCAAACCCCCAGTGTCCAAAGAGGATTGAAAGACAGTGACTGACACAGTGACTGACAGTGACTGACACACACAGTGACTGACACACACACAGTGACTGACACACACAGTGAGACACACACACAGTGACTGACACACACACAGTGACTGACACACACAGTGAGACACACACACAGTGACTGACACACACACAGTGACTGACACACACACAGTGACTGACACACACACAGTGACTGACACACACACAGTGACTGACACACACACAGTGACAGACAGTGACTGACACACACACAGTGACACACAGTGACTGACAGTGACTGACGTGGTGACGGTATATGATCAGTTGCTGATGAAGCCGCAATGGCTTTTCCTCACTTTTTTTCTTCATGTCCCCGTCAGCATCTCCCGGGGCTGAGCTGCCGGTGCCCGGGGGGGGGTCCGGGGCTGAGCTGCCGGTGCCCGGGGGGGAGGCCGGGGCCGGGGCCGGGGGGGAGGCCGGGGCCGAGACGCCTTCACTCTCCACGTCCGCCATTTATACACCGGAAACGGCAGTGACGTCACCATCGAGCGTGTCAGAGAGAGGAGGGGGAGTGGGGGGGGAGAGGAGGGGGAGTGGGGGGAGGGAGGGAGGAGGAGTGGAGGAGGGGAGTGGGGGGAGAGGAGGAGGAGTGGGGGGGAGAGGGGGGAGGGGGGGAGTGGGGGGGAGGGGAGAGAGGAGGGGGAGTGGGGGGGAGGGGAGAGGAGGAGGGTGGGAGAGGGGGGAGGGGGGAGGGAGAGAGGAGGGGGGGGAGAGAGGAGGGGAGTGGGGGGGGGGGAGAGAGGAGGGGAGGGGAGAGCAGAGAGGAGGGGGAGTGGGGGGAGGGAGAGAGGAGGGGAGGGGGGGAGAGAGGAGGGGAGTGGGGGGGAGGGGAGAGAGGAGGGGAGTGGGGGAGGGGAGAGAGGAGGGGGAGGGAGAGCAGAGAGGAGGGGGAGTGGGGGAGGGGAGAGAGGAGGGGAGTGGGGGGGAGGGGAGAGAGGAGGGGGAGTGGGGGGAGGGAGAGAGGAGGGGGGTGGGAGAGGAGGGGAAAGAGGAAGGGAAGTGGGGGGGAGAGGGGGAGGGGAGAGGAGAAAGGAGGGGGAGTGGGAGAGGGAGGGGAGAGAGGAAGGGAAGTGGGTGGGAGAGGAGGGGGAGTGGGGGAGGAGGGGAGAGAGGAGGGGGAGTGGGAGAGAGGAGGGGATGGGGGGAGAGAGGAGGGGGGAGTGGGGGAGGGGAGAGAGGAGGGAGTGAGGGGGGAGGGGAGAGAGGAGGGGGAGTGGGGGGGAGGGGAGAGAGGAGTGGAGAGAGAACGGAGGGGGTGGGAGAGGGAGGGAGAGAGGAAGGGAAGTGGGAGGGGGTGGGGGAAAGGGGGAGTGGGGGGGGGGAGAGAGGAGGGGAGTGGGGGGAGGGGAGAGAGGAGGGGAGTGGGGGGGAGGGAGAGAGGGGTGGGGGGGGGAGGGGAGAGAGGAGTGGGAGAGGAGAAAGAGGAGGGGAGTGGGAGAGGAGGGGAGAGAGGAAGGGAGTGGGAGGGGTGGGGAGAGAGGAGGAGTGGGGGGAGGGAGGAGGAGGGGAGTGGGGGGAGGGAGAGAGGGGAGTGGGGGGAGGGGAGAGAGGAGGGGGGAGGGGTGGGGGGGAGAGAGATTATTACACCACCATTGGCGTCTCCATCCAAACCTTGTACAAGTGTGTGAGCAGAGCGTGTGTGTGTGTGTGTGTGTACACCCTTTTGGTGCTTTCAAT